CCGTTTGTGGGCCGGATGTGAAGACTCACCGCCATCCTCCGAGGAGTTAGAGAGCCGGCGCTTAAGGCTGTTCTCTCCGTTAAGCCGGTAACGCAGCGAGAAATCGTAGTTCTCGACATTCCGATCCCGCCCACTTCGGGTAACATCGCAGCCACGCATGTTCTCGCTGAGGGCTTCCTCCTGCAAAGCGGACGCCCAAACGTTGTACTTCTTAAAGCGTACTCGACTGGGTTGCATATCCGCATCCGTCGGTGGAACGCGTCTCATCACCGTACGCCGGATGCGCTTTTTTCGCTTTTTGTGACTGCCGCGTCCAATTGAATCCGTGCGCAGCTTCTTAATGCATCCGTCCTCAGACGACTCAGCAGAAGAGGAATCGCTATTGCTCTGAGACTCGTCCTCCAGCTCCGTCTGGATCTGATGGCAGGTGGTGAGGGGGCTGGCCAGCTTTTCCGCACCTGCAGGTCGCTGCAACGGCGTATAAACGTCGTCGTTGTCGCTCTCTGATAGCTGTAAGGGGAGCAGAGATGGTCAAGGAGGGTTGCCTTCAAGGACTTGGTAGTGGTTACCTCGCCGTCCTCCAGGTCAACGTCGTTCGAGTGCAGCTCCATCATTTTTCCAGGCGAGAGAAAATTAACTCGACTCGACGGTAGTTGCCGTGCTGTGCTGGAAAACGCCCAAAGTGCAGCGCCCACCAGCTGTTTGTGCAACACTGAGCGAGCAGAGTGACCTTTTTTTGTTAGTTGAGGAATATTGAGGGCAAAAAATTAACGGAACTTGGTAAAGGAATTTGTAACTTTACGCCTAGTTCTCGCCTGAGTTTAAAATCTACAACATGTAGGTTTCTATGCAAGAAGTTACAAAAAAAAAACTTCAAGCCTTCTGAAAATTGTTTTTTTACTAAGCCAAGTATTTCCGCATTACCCACGACTGGTCACACACCACACGTGCACTTACTTTACTCTAACGGAACGTGGTTGGAAAAGAACGCAGTTTTTTTTTAATAGTTTTTACGGCTCACCATGGTGCGGCCCAACAACAATCAGCTGCCGGAGAACCTGCCGCAGCTCCAGAACCTGATCAAACGGGATCCGGAGTCGTACAGCGATGAGTTCCACATCCAGTACCAGCACTTTCTTAGCCTGCTGGAGGTTTTTGCGCTGAATCCCAGCGAGGAGAACAAGTCCCTTGATGACATCGTCATGTTCGTGGCCCAGGTGGCCCAATGCTATCCGGCCGTGTGCGAAGAGTTTCCCAAGCGCCTGTCCGATCTGCTGAAGAACTACGCCACTGTCTTGGATCCAGCCATGAGGAATTGCTTTGTGAAAGCCCTGATCCTGCTAAGAAACAAGAATCTAGTGCCGGCTCTGGACATACTGGAGCTGTTCTTTCAGCTGCTAAGGTGTCCGGACAAGAATCTGCGCACTTTCCTGCAGACGCACATCGTGACTGACATAAAAAACATGAATGCCAAGCACAAGGATATGAAGCTAAATTCGGTAAGATTTAGCAGAGTAATTACAGTGTAAGTTAAGTAGTAATTAAAAACGCCATTACAGAACCTGCAGGCCTTCATGTACTCTATGCTGAAGGACGCCAATCCCAAGGCGGCCAAGATGTCCGCTGATATCATGATCGAGCTGTACAAGAAGAACATCTGGAACGATGCCAAGACGGTGAATGTCATAGCCACAGTTGGCTGCTTCTCCAAGGTGACCAAGGTTTTGGTCACCTCTCTTAAGTTCTTCCTCGGCCACGACGATGAGGACGAGGAGGAGGACTCCGACAGCGAAAACGAAGTGGACCTGAAGGGGGCTCTGATGGCCAATCGAGTCAACAAAAAAACCAAGAAGAGGACCAAACAGCTAGCGCAGATCAAGAAGCAAGCGGTGAAGGCGCAGAAGAAAAAAAAGAACGCGCCGGCTTTTAACTTCTCGGGCATTCACCTCGTACACAATCCACAGGGAATGGCCGAGGGCCTCTTCAAGCAGCTGCAGGGCACCAACGAGCGGTTCGAGGTGAAGCTGATGCACTTGGACGTGATTTCCCGCCTGATCGGCATCCACGAGTTGTTCCTCTTCGGCTTCTATCCGTATATAACTCGCTTTCTGCAGCCCCATCAGCGCCAGGTGACCCGTGTTCTGCAGTTTGCGGCTCAGGCGTCCCACGAACTGGTTCCCGGAGACATTATCGAACCCATCCTTAAGACGATTGCCAATAACTTTATCACTGAACGCAACTCCAGCGATGTGATGGCCATCGGTCTGAATGCCACGCGAGAGATTTGCATGCGCTGTCCCCTGGCCATGGGCGAGGATCTGCTTCAGGACCTCGCCATGTACAAAACGTATAAGGAAAAGTCTGTGATGATGGCAGCACGTTCTCTAATCACACTCTATCGGGAACAGCTGCCAGCTCTATTGCACAAGAAGGATCGAGGCAGGCAAACGGAGGCCCAGGCCGAACGGAAGGTTCGTGCCTACGGAGAACGCGAAGTCCATGATACGGTTCTGGGTGCGGAAGCTCTCCTCAAGAACTCCAAAACCATTGACATAGAGAGTGATGAAGATACGGACTCTAACGATGGGGAGTGGGTTAATGTGACGCACAGCGATGGTGAGGCAGGTGGAGCCGATGAGGATGATGAGGAGGAGGAAGAGGATGATGACGACGAAGACGACGACGACAGTGACGGTGACGATGGGGAGGAGGAGGAAGGCGAAAACTCCGATGAAGGAGTGGAAAGTGGTGAAGAGTCGGCCAAGGCGAAAAAAGAGAAGAAAGATATAAAACTTCTCAACCAGAAGGAGGCTGCCCAGGAACTGGCTCTTACCCGTATATTCACTGACGAGGATTTCAAGCGCATCAACGCGGCCAACCTCAAGAAGACCGTGACAAGTGCCCGCAAGCGGCCGCTTGAGCAGGATCGCGCCGAGTTTGTCAAGTTAAACAGCATAGAGATGATCTACAAGAAGCGCAAGCACGACAAGGAGTCGCGCCTGGAGACTGTGCAGGCTGGCCGACAAGATCGCGAGCGCTTTGGATGGAAGGACGGACGGGTGAACGAGCACTGTTCCAAGACGAACCGGGAGAAGCGCAAGACCAAGAACTTTGGCATGCTCCGGCACAAGGCGCGCTCCAAGGTCAAGAAGAGCTTCAAGGACAAGCAACAGGCGCTCAGAAAACATTTACTTCACCAGAAGAAGATGAAGTAATTGCCCCAGGAGCACATAAACTTGTAGTGTTTCATATAAATACTAATTTAAGAGCTATTTTTAACAATTTGTAACCAATTGTATAAATGTAGATGGTAGAGTTTAGTATCTGCTTTATTTCAATTCATATAGACTTTGTACGGTTGCCTATGCATTAAACTAATTAAAAAGTATTCGTGTGGCCGGAAGTCGTCTATCTGCGTCGCTTCTCGGATTTTTTGACGCGCTTGGGTCCCTTGACGAAGCACCAGTCCACCTGGATGGTTTGTCCCATTATTTCGGCACCGTTCAACGCCTCCTTGGCGGCGAGTGCCTGCTTGTGGGTCTCGTACTCGACGAGGGCGTAGCCCTTTGAGAACCCAGTGCGCCGGTCGAGATTCAGATGGATGTTCTTAATTTCGCCGTAGTCGCAGAACTTTTCCTGGATCTCGTCCTCCTGCGCCTCCTCGTGAATGGAAGTCACGAACAGAATCCAACCCTCGACAGAGCGCTGTGGTCCCGGCTCCAGCTCATCGTCGTCCTCGTTACGCACCCGCTCGTAGCTGTGGATCGCCTCCCGGGTGTTGCTGTCGCTTCCGAAACCGCGTCCCTTGCGGTGCTTCGCCTTCTCCTTCAGGCGCACTATGCCCTCTGTTTTGATGGTAGGGTGCACACGGTGCGGCGTGGGAGCAAATATAAAGCATTAGACCTGCGGAAAAGAACATGCACTAGGCTTACTTACGGTCGCCATCCTCGTCCACCTCGAACTCCTCTGCATTGTCAATGTCCAAAACATCAGCCATTTTCTATATTGGTTATAAAAACAGAATCAAATAGTTTATTTTCTTTTCGTTCCGCGTCCGGCCAGTAGCAAAAACTCAGATAGAGATGGCATAAAAGATAGTGTTGGCTAATGCCGATAGGGCCACTGTCGGCCAGACATTACCAAAATGCCATGTTTGTTGGGATGATTTGTAGAATTGAGTTGCTGTTATTTTTACAAAACTTGATTGATAAAATTTAATAAAAATTAACATTTTTATTTTTTTTATTTATTTAAAAATAATTACAACCTCTACAAATAAAATATAAATATTCCATTTTTTTCTCATTTGTAAAAATTAATCACTGTCGTGATTTGATTAAGTGTCTGAAAATTAAGCGATAGAGTGTAAATCTATTGATAAAAATTATTCTTCTTAAGCAGAATCATATACTTTTATAATTAATTGTCTTATATTTAATAATGGCATCAAATTGCAAATTTGAAAGAGTAAAGTTTTACTAAAGGATAATCCTATATTTACAGCTTTGAAGGTATATAAAAATGAAAAGTCAAAAATGACAAAAACTAATATACAGGCATTACCCATTAGAATTAAGTTATTTTTTTCTACATGGGGTCCATGCCGAGAAGGATTTTTTTATACACAACATTTAATAGCGGAGTAAACTAGTACACGTATTGAATATCCAAAAACAGTTGCTTTATTTAAATCGCAAATATAATATATAATCTTCATTTTATTTTTAGGTCCTGACTAAAAAAACTAAATATAGAATTACAAAGGCAGCCAAATAAAACCACAATACTTAAATTAAGAGTGTCAACCTAAGCCACAAAATAAATATATATATTCCATTAAAAAATCAAGTTAAAACACGTGCCTAACAATATACATATTTTATCAAAGAAAAACAACTGTGGTTTTACAACCACAAAAAACTGAAGATAAAGTATCAAAATGACCAAAATACACAAAAATACCGCTATTAAGATGGCCTGCGTTCCATCACTAAAAATCGCGCCATCCCCAGCTGAGCTAAGCGGGGCACATTTTGCCGCAAAAAGAGGGGTGTGGCTAATTTATTGTGTGTATGTGGTTGAATTGGCAAATCTTATCAACCCAAAGCAAGCAGACCCCAGTCGATCGCCAATTGTCGCTCAGTGTGCTTTTCTTTGTTGATGGGCTGTGACTTCGCTGTCAAAAAGCGAGTGCTGCCTTTTGTTTCCCTCCCGTTCGGCATAGTTCCAAATTAAACTTGAAAATAAAAGATTTTCGGTCTCTAACACTCAGCCACCATGTGTCAACCCACGGGCCAGATGCTGTGCGAGATCAAGAACATGGCGCTATCGGGCGATCGGGAGCTGGATGACCAGATACGCCTGTGGATCAAGTGGGACAAATGCCCCAGCACTGCCTGCCAGATCATGGACGCCGTGCGGGCGAAGGATTGGGACACGTAAGTGTAGTTATACCCAAACAAGTGCTTGTCTTCATAATCCTTACTTCTTTTACAGGCTCCGCAAGAGACTGTGCAAACGGATCGAATTCGGCACAGCAGGATTGCGGGCCTGCATGCGGGCGGGCTTCGACTCCATGAACGAGCTAGTGGTCATCCAGTAAGTTCGATTTTATCCTATTTCCAACAAGTGGTTATATAAACGTATCGGTTTCCAGGGCGGCTCAGGGCTTGTGCGAGTACATAAAGGAGCAGTACCCAAATCCGGAGGACTGGTCCGGGCGGGGCATCGTCTTCGGGTATGACGGTCGCTACAACAGCCACCGATTCGCCGAGCTCTCGGCCATTGTGTTCTTGAACAACGATTTTAAGGTGTGGCAGTTCAAGCGCTACGTGGTTACGCCCATGGTGCCTTATGCAATCTTGAGGCTGCAATGCCTGGCCGGCGTTATGGTCACTGCCTCGCACAATCCCAAGGAGGATAATGGCTACAAGGTGTATTGGTCCAACGGGGCTCAGATCATTCCGCCGCACGACGCGGGCATTCAGGAGTCGATCATGAACAATTTGGAGCCCAAGAGCTCTTCATGGGACGACTCGGCGATGTGTGGGAACAGCAGCTTGGAGGATCCGTACGACATCGTCGTGCCGCCGTATTTCGATATCCTGAAGAAGAGCCTGCCCTGCGCCCTGTTGGAAGGCAACGGAAGGTGTCCGATCTCCTTCACCTACACAGCGATGCACGGCGTGGGCTATGAGTTTGCAAAGCAGGCTTTCGCCCGCGTGAATCTGAAGCCGTTCATTTCGGTATGCGAGCAGCAGGAGCCGGACCCCGAGTTCCCTACAACGCCCATGCCTAATCCGGAGGAGGGCAAGACGTCCCTGGACTTGTCCATCAGGACGGCGAAGGCAAACGGCAGCCAAATCATTCTAGCCAACGACCCGGACGCCGACCGCCTGGCAGTGGCCGAAGTGCGCGAGGACGGTAGCTACAAGCTGTTCAGCGGCAACGAAGTGGGGGCCCTTCTGGGCTGGTGGTCTCTGGAGCTGCACAAGATGCGAGAACCCGACTGCGACGTGAGCAAATGCGTGATGATAGCCAGCACGGTCAGCTCGAAGATTTTGAGGGCCATGGCCGAGCGGGAAGGATTCGAGTTCTTTGAGACGCTGACCGGATTCAAATGGATGGGTAACAAGGCCATTGAACAGCAGGAGGCGGGCAAGACGGTGCTGTTTGCCTTTGAGGAGGCCATCGGCTTCATGGTCGGCACCTCCGTTCTGGACAAGGATGGAATCAGTGCCGCTGCTCATGTGGCAACCATGGCCTGTTATCTGCGCTGCAAGCGGTGCATGACGCTGCAGGAGAAGCTTCGTGACATCTACGAGACATATGGGTTCCATACGACCATCTGCTCGTATGTCATCTGCCGCTGTCCGCCTGTGATTGAGCAGATCTTTGAGCGCCTGCGCACCTGGGACGAGGGCAAGGCGGACACCTATCCGCCCAGCATTCTAAACGGCGAGTACGAGATCGAACACGTTCGCGATCTGACCACTGGCTATGACAGTAGCACCGGCGACAAGAAGGCCACCCTGCCGACCAGTTCCAGCTCCCAGATGATCACTTTTACCTTCAAGAACGGCCTGGTGGTCACTCTGCGCACCAGCGGCACGGAACCCAAGATGAAGTACTACGCCGAGATGTGCGGCAAGCCGGACGAAAAGAACTGGGCCAAACTGACTAACACTTTGAACATCATGGTGGAGGCCATTGTCGAGGAATTCTACGAGCCAACGAAGAATGGGCTCCAGCGCAAGAAGGACTAATCTGGATACCCCTTTTAGGGGAAACTCTACGCGAATTTGACGATACATCAAACATGTTGACCTGGCTAAAATTATTAGTTCCATACCAACAGCACCGATGCACAAGCCAAAAACTAACACCAGCGAAAGCTGTTTACTATTAGTTTATAAAGGATATTCGATATGTTAGTACTTTATTTACAATAGGCGAGTATTTATGGTTTTATGTAAATAAAAGCGATCGCTACCACGCACCAGGCCAAACCAAAATCGAACGAGTCCCCATAATATCAGGCTTATGGTCAGCAAAACAAAACGCCTGTTCCACTCCGCAATTTTACTTCCTTATCTTAATGGTGTGAAAAAAATGAGACCACCATGGCTCACCACACTTGAATTAATTGCTCTTATAAGTGTTATCATGAAAATTGAGTGTCAGCTATAGAACGAATCAAAAACGGATTGATGTGAGATTAAATCTAATTCTCACATATTGAAGTTATGTGCAATATGGTTGACCAGCCGCCCATTTATCATTATAGGAACTGGTTATTAATCAAAAGCTGATAAGGCAATTGTTTTTATAGAAGCTAAATGAATGAATTACTTACGTGTAGCCTCCATAATTAACGTCATCACACAGCGAAAAAAAACAATTCAATTAAAGCTGTTAAAAAAGTGGGTTCGATTTATTTTACGGCATGTGTTTTCATAAGCTAATTACAGTTACAACAGTTACAGTTTGATAGTTAATATATAAATGGTATGTATGCTTAAGAGTTGGCTTTCCAATTGCTTTAAGTAATTGCTAGAGAATTGCAATAAAAAATTGTGCTTCGGCAGAAGGCATTTAGCTAGGAAACGAAAATAAAATCAAACCTCAAGCAAAAGTTCTCTAAGTAGTTTTGTAAATAGGTATATACTATATATGTATAGATTGGGTTCACTGGAACGTACATATGTTCGAATACGATTTCGGGTTCTTATCACTATAATTTTGTTTCTAAAAATACACGAGTTTCTGTATATAAGTGGTTGCTATGCACAGGTTAGTACATACACCTGTAAGTGGCTGTTGGCAATTTGTGTGTATAAAATGCATATTCAGGCAGTCTTTGCTTAAATTATGTATTTGTCATCAGTTGCATTCGAGTTATAGTTTTGTCGTTCCTCAACTTTTAGCAGAAGAGTTAGGACCTTTCGGTTTCGGCTTAAAATGTGCGTCTGTAAAATTCTATCGAGTCGCGCCAAGAGTGGTAGTTCCACTTTTGGCGCAAGTCCGAGTCTTAGCTAAAATTCCATGGGTTCGCCTTGGCTCACTCCATTCCTTCTTAAGGCTAGCGCTGGGGTTTAAACGTCACAGATATCGGTTAAAATATACTGAGACGAGAAAGCCCAACTTTATACTAAACATATTTCCTAAAATAAAAACGTGTATAAAAGAGCTGCATTGAAGAGTTGATTTCTTATGATCGCGGTTCTGCAAGTCGAACCATCATTCTTATAATTAATACTTTGGGAACTTGTAAGTCATATTTGCTTATCAAAGGGTCGTGTGATATGTTCGAGTCGGTTTAGGATGATACACTGGGCTTTTGAGCATTTGTTGTTGATATTTTGGGTCATAAGTTCACGTTTATAGCTGATAAGTACATCGGGTCCTCACCTAATCTTCAGTTATTTGAACAAAGAAGTAAAGGGCCTGCTTTTATTGAATCTGTTCGGTTTCGACTTTTCGACTTGATTATGTTTTTAAAAATATTTTTCTAGCCAGATAGTTGGATTTGGAGCATATTCGTTAATAATTAATTTTGATTGCTCCATTTGATTGATTATGATGAAGTTTCTGGCGTTTGAAGATTATTTACTTCTCAAAAGTCCTCTAAAATCGAATCACTTGAGTGAATATTTTATAAAAGTAAATAAATTAGGAATGGAAAGGAAGGAAACGTTGGGATTATCAGACAAACACATGCAAATACGACGATTGGGTCTGGTTGCTGTGCGTGGGCGTTATTATCGGTGGGGCGTTGTGGTGGTGTCATACGGATGTTTCAGAGTTCAGCTTCAGCACAAATTTGTTGCTCTTGGGATCCACCACCTCCTCCGCCAGGTTGAAGTGCGGCAGCTTGTGCACGGTGACCATGAGAGAGACATCGTTCTGGATCAGCTGGAACGTGCACTCGTTGCCAATGGGCCGGGAGACGATCTCGTCACAAATGAGCGACCACGACTGCACCCAGCGGCGCTCCTTCTCGCTCTGCATCACCGGCGACTCGGTCAAATACGGTTCCAGGAAGGCGCGCGGCGACAGATCGTGCTTCAGGCAGTGTGCCAGGTGCTTTAGGATGCTCTCAAAGGTGTGTCGTGGCTGCTGGCGCGTAACCCGCAAGTATTTCTGCAGAGCCCTGGCCATCGAGGGAAAGACCGCAGAGGCAGCCTCCTGCGGATCGAGTGGCAGTGCTGGAGCGGGTTCGTTATGGATACGCTTAATATGGGTGAAGGCCTCTTCAGCGGCAGTGATTAGTCGGGCACGCCGCTTCTTCACGCGCCGCTCATACTCGTGTTCCTCGTAGAAGCGCTCGTTGTGCGAAGAGTCACGCCTCCGGGCATTTGCCGCCAGAACCGCCCTGCTCTGACTCTGCTGCTGCGAATTACTTACCCCATCCACTTCGTAGTACTTGAAGCTATTCGATATCTTGTTACGCTGGGACTTGGATACGGAAATGGGGATGCGCTCCAGATACGGGTTGAAGATCGGGAAGTCCACGTAGTAATGCTGCAGCACCCACACAGCCGCCCGCTGTATGCTCAGTTGGCCCAGCATGTAGGACCGCGAAATTCCGTCCGGGGAGCGGATGATCTTGACATAGTAGCAGGGCTGCTGGTGCCTCAGCTCCAGCAGCACCACGGCCACATAGTGGATGAACAGGAGCGTGTCCACAAAGTTGGTGGCATAGCCTACCAGCGACTTGTAGTCCACGGCATCGCCTCCGGTCTCCACCACGATCTTGGCTCCGTTCGTGACCTGCACGATGTAGAAAAGCCAGTAGGCGAACGTGCAGATGGTAACCAGCAGGAGTACCAAAGCGCGGTACAGAAAAATCCGCGGCATGCTTGCCGAAGTGCGTCTCATGAACACCGCCCATAGTCCAATGGCCAGGAGCAGGAGGCGGGCGGCCAGTGAGACCAGCTGGCCCTTGCACTGCTCGCTGCAGGCCAGCAGCTGGGTGCGCACCGTCTGCGTCAACTCAGGATGATCGAAGGCCGAGGGGAAGAAGCCCACATAGGGCATTACCACCATGGCCACCGGCGAAAAGAAGGTGCCGCATCCCAGCAGAAAGTAGAAGCTAGACTCTACGTAGCGCCTGCAGGCGAAGCCGAAGCCCTTGTCGCTTTCGCGGTGCCACATGTTGTTAATGTCCTCCATTGAGATGCTTTGCTCGGATGTGTTGCCCGTGACGGCGGTAGTGTTCTCGCCCCAGTTCTCGTCCTGCGGCAGAATCTGCACCTCGATGACCTCTTGACCATCGTGGCTGCCATCTCCTGGTGGGCGAAATTAGTTTAGTTGGTTATGTTTGACTAGTACAACCATTTAGCTCACCTGTCATATTAACGCTGGTCTGGTAGGGTGCCATGTCACCTCGCTGGAATCCCTTGCCCGACTTGGAAGAGTGGGTGCTGCGGTGCGAGTGTCTGGAACGATCCCGCTCCCTGTGGTAGCCGTTGTTTACACTGCCGCCGCCTCCTCCTCCACCACCACCACCTCCACTTCCTCCTCCCCCCACCGCCGTTGTTATTGTGATTCCGCGACCGTCTGGAGCGTCCACTGTGTTCCGACTTGACGGATTCGTTTTCCATTGCAATTGGGCTAGCTTGCGTGGGCTACACCCGATCCCGTATCCCCCTTCTCGACAAGCTGGGTGCCCCAAATCACCTCGCAACCTGACCGTGCAGCTATTTTAGTGTCTAACTGTAATTACGGCCGCGGCAGCAGGTTTTCATATGCAGGTATGCAGGGCGCAGTGCATACCGCTCACAGCGATTTAGAGGTGTTTTTCTAGCTAATTGTGCGGCTCATTGTCACTTTGGGTCTCTCGCACTGCCTTTTCCTCCGCAATTTCACTATTTCACACACATTTTACGCTTTTTATTCACTTTTCTTTTTCGTGGACTTGGCTTCACCCCCGACGCAGTGTGACCCTAGTTCAAAAGCGGACAGTGCAATCACACTGCTTCTCGGTGTTTTCCAACACTGTCGTCGTGAGCGGTAAACTAAGGCAGTTTAAATCGATTATTTTATTAGGCATTATTATCAATGAGCCGTAATGGCAGAAAGTAAGTTTCTGGCTTCCTGGTCTGTTGGATTCAGTCGGATGGCGCGCTGAACCAACTTAAGGGAGCAGGCCTTGTCAACTGGACTCACGGCCTGGCTCGCATAGATCGTTGTCTGCGCCTCCTCGCTGGCCAAAATGCTAAATGTTTAAAAATCATTAAAAAATAATGCATATTATGCAGACACACTCTCATCTCACCCATTCTGCTGATTGGTATGGCCAAGTGTAAGAGCTATCAGAGCCATATTTGAGGTGGCCTGTTGGTAGGATCGATCCTCCAGAAAATAGTCAAGAAGAAACTTTAGCATCACCTTGCGGAGTCCTGCGGAATGGGGAAACATGCGGACTCGGGACTGTAGATAGCACAAGGCCTTGCGGGCACCCTCCTTAAAAAAGTGATATCATCAGTTTCTTTAAACCAACACAATCAGATCTTCCAACGCACATTTATAAGGAAATAGTAGGCCGTTAGGTAGGACACCTCGGCGCAATGCTTCTCGTTGAAAGCGTACGCACTCAGCTCCGTCATTATCGTCTGGCTAAGTTCGTTATCCTTATGAATTATGCCCAAGGCAAAGGCCGAGTACAAGGCCTGAATGGGCACTTCCCTTAACAGAACGCTAACGAAAATTATATCGTCAGAGAAGTAGAATAAACAAACCAAGTATCCGCTACTAACCACTGATAGAGTAGGGTTTTTGTGTCCGCTTCACCCTGGAAGGCGTAGATCATGGATGCCATCGCCACCAAAATGGTAGCCGCCTTATCATCATCCTGGCCCACCACGTTGCTTAGAACAGAGTTGTAAATCGAATAGGATTCCTGCAGCTGACCGGATCGGTAATAAGCCTGTGCCAGGCCAATGATTGGCTTAAATGTGGCATGGGCTACCGTGTTTAGGGCGTTCACCGCCTGCTCCGGTTGGTCAAGCTTCAGGTATAGGTATCCCAAGTTCGTATAGAGCTTGTCCCGATCCGCTCCCGGTTCGCATATCTTACAAGCGCGGGTGAAGGCTTCGATCGCTTTTTGATACAGCTTTTTTCGGGCATACAAAAATCCCTGGAACGACAGCGATGCGATACTGGCATCGGCTTCCTCATTTTGCACATACCTACAAAATTTTGGATGTAAATATGGTTTTACAATACTACATTAGTACCTACCAATTAATGGCATCCAGTGCATAAACATCCGCATACATGTGATCTATAGCATGCCGTATGTGCGGCTTATTCCGAGATCCCGGATCCGATAGCATCTCGCACACCCAGTGCGTGAAACCCAATGCCGCCTCCGGATGGTAATCGAACTGCTGGCAATGACGGAACAGGTCGAAGGCCTCCTCCCGGTCACCGATCGTCTCCGCCACCATAGCCTGACCTATCCAAGCGTTGGCGTACACAGGACTCGATTGTTGGGCTCGCGTGAAGGCCTCATTGGCCAGTCGGACTTCATTCAACTTGACGTACAGCACCCCGAGATTGGTCCAAGCCGTGAAGCATTTTCTTTCCAGTTCCACTGCTTGGATTAAACAGTGCTGAGCCAGCGGCAAATTCTCAAATTCCGAATGCATGTTGATCACACCGAGTAGATTCCAATTCTGCCATCGATTGCCACGCTCCTTGATAGCCATCTTACATACCCTAGCCGATGTCTCCAAGTGGCCCCTGGCCTCCTCGGGAATGAAGATTGCACTGTAGTAGCTGGCCAGTGCCAGCTCGTACCACAGGTAAGTGTTCTGCTTCAGCTTTAAAGCGCAAAGATAGAATCGCTGGGCCAGCTGTAGGAGATCCTTTCTCGACAGATACGCAATGGCTTCATCACGCTTGGCCAGACTGCCGACCACATCCAAGTTGGCCATTGAGGACGGTAGTTGGGCCGTTTGAACGAACACACTGGCCGAAAGGCGCCACAGCCAAACCATGCCCTGAGCCTCTGGCTGAAGAAAGGCGCTGTAGGAAAAGGGAATATAATTATAATAATGTTTAAAGTTGAAATAAGTATGAAGTCATAATATTGGGTGATAACCGAACCTTTGAAGATGTCCTACAGCTAGTTGGAAATGCTGTTTTGACCTGCCATACAGATTCTGGGACTTAAGACTATTAGCCATGCCAATATGCGCCTCAGCTGCTCCCCGTAATCCCGGCAGGTAACTAGGATTCAGCCTTAACAGCGTATCGTAATCTTCAATAGCCTCGGAATACATGCGAATTGTCTATTAAATATGGTACAAAATAGTTATATTAAGTAACCCGTTTTTTCACAACTTCGCACCGTTTTAATGGAGGCGATCTGGAGCAGAGCATAACTATTCTCCGCGGAGAGCTCGAGAATCTTCTGGAAGACCCGAATAGCTGAGTTGTAAGATCCTCGCGCGGCATAAGCATCACCCAACGACTCCCAGTATACCATGCAGCGCGAGTCGTGTTTGATGGCAATGCGGAAGCATTGGATTGCCTGTAATAAAAACGTTTAAGTGGTTTTTTCAGTAATTATCTGCTAATCACCCACGTTATCCCACTTCTTCACATGCAGAAAGTGCAGTCCCAGCTTGTACTGTAGTCGGATTGATTCGTCGTTGCCCAGATGCCGCAAGGTGTTAAGGAGAAGCGTCTCGTTTAGGTCCTCCTCGCCCAGTTCCTGGTAGATGAAACTCAGAGCATCGACTGCTTCCTCGGCCAAGGCATTAAGACTGATGCACTTTTCATAGCACTTGCGCGCACGCGACAAATCCCCAGTTGCCAGCGGATACAACCTGCCCAGATAGTCGAAGCACTCGGCAAAATGCGGACGCAATCGTGTGGCCTTCAGTATGCAATTCAGGGAATCTGAATAGTTTTTTAGCTCCAAGTGCAGCTTGCCACAAAGCAGCTGAGCCTCGAAGGACTCTTGGTTGCCAATTTTTCGAATAGCTTCAGCTGGGGACCTGCCATAAAGCAACACAAAACTGAGTACGAATTCCTTAAAACAAGGTGATATGACTCACAATAGAAATTCTGCTTTGGAAAGTTCATCTAAAGGCAAATCTTTCAGCAGCTGCAGCTCGCCCAGCTTAAAGTAGCAACTAAAAAGTAATAATTAATGTAACAATACCGAATTTAAAAATAATTTTTAAGACTCACCGAGCTAAGGCCTTAACATTGCTCTCGGACTTCTCTAGCGTTTGCAGCATCCTGACTCCTTCTCTCAATTTGGAATCCTCTTTTTCGTGGGATAAACACAGAGCACACGCTTCGTTTTCCTGTCCAAGCTGCTGCCACAACTGAAGGGCAAGCTTAAAGGCGCCCAGCTCCATGTGGATCCTGGCCAAAAGCTCGGTAGTTACCTTGTACGCTGGATGACTTTGCTGCGCTTGCAGTACCAACTGTCGGGATGCTACGAACTGCCCTTCAGCATAAAGATCTAGTGCCTTGATCAACAGGGCCAAGTTGGAGTTTGGATTAATTTCCAGAAGTTGCTCAGCGTACGCCTGGATCGGATGCCTCAACTCTTGCTGCCAGAGATCTCTACTCGGTTGATCATGGTTTTCGCAGTAGGTCTTGCATATCCACTCAAAGCCGTAGACATCCTTGGGGTGGGATACGGTCATGTTGCATGCGTGCCGCACGCAGGCTACAAAATCCTTCTCCTTGTACAGCCATTTAAGGTAGCGCTTGTAAACGACACTCTTCGTATTTAAATCTGATGTGTCCAGGAGAGCATTCATTGTTGTTTTATACTAAGGATAAGCTGTTTAGGTATTTATAGGCTTATGATAAGACTACGTACAAGTTGGGAGTCATCTGGGGTAATATCAAAATCGTTGGATAACCAAATCCGTCCCAGGTACTCTTGGATTTTGGCATAGTTTCTGCCCTCTGGGTTCTTAGCTCTCTTTTTCAATACAGCAAAGCAAGCGGGTGCCACTGTCGAGTCCGAAGCCAAGTTGAAAAGCTTCTCCCAAAAGTCCAAAGATTGTTCTCTAAAAAAAAACAAAATTAAGGGATTTTATGTGTCCTAAATTATTGGATGATGACTAATATCTTACGGTTGCAGATCCGCCAGTTGATCGTAGATCTCCGGCAGCTCGTTGCTGGGCGCGCAGTTGGCTAGACCCAGGAGCGCGTTGGTGGCGGGTCCCTCCGTGAACTCGATGCAATGCCTCAGGTTCTTGGCCGCCTCCGCCTTGTCCAGATTCTGGTATGCGGCGCCGAGCAACAAGTAGCCCATGGCATTTTTGGGATCCAATTTGAGCAGGCGCTGCAATAAATGTCATTAGGAGAGTGCAATTGGGGTACTCTACAACGGTGACGTCACTTGGCACTTGGGTATGGCCTCCGCGTGTTTGCCTAGCTTTATCGTCTCCCTAATGTCCTTGATCAAGGCTTTTAGCTCTTTTCCGCCATTCATTGTAAATATAAATGTTTATTTTTTTTTTTACTGTGCCAAGTGTTGGGCAACTTGTGCGCAAAGCCAGTGTTGGTCATCGATTAAGGAGCAACAGCTGGTTTCCAAGCAATTGTGTATTAAATGTGAGTCAAAATGCCCATAAACTGCAAGTCCCAGTGCGGAAATCGGGCTGCTTTGAAGGTGAGTCCTTAGACTATATACGCTCAAGATATCCCATTAATAATGCATTTTTCAAAGCGCCCAAAAACCGGCGATGCCCTGTGCAAGGAGTGCTTTTTTGCCGCTTTCGAGGCGGAAATCCACCACACAATCTCATCCAGCAATTTGTTCCGGCGTGGCGAAAAGGTAGCCGTGGCGGCCAGCGGGGGCAAGGATTCTACTGTCCTAGCGCATGTGTAGGTTCTTGGTTTCCCGTTTTCAAACTTCTTTAATCCCGTCTATCCCTTTCAGCATGAAACTGCTGAATGAACGCCACGATTATGGTCTGGAACTGGTGCTCCTTTCTATTGACGAGGGTATTACTGGCTATCGGGACGACAGTTTGGAGACGGTCAAGCAGAACCGCGACGACTACCAGATGCCCCTGAAGATCCTATCCTACGAAGAGCTCTACGGCTGGACTATGGACCGCATTGTCGGGCAGATCGGACGCTCCAACAACTGCACCTTTTGTGGGGTCTTCCGTCGACAGGCCTTGGATCGAGGGGCCAAGCTGCTGGGCGTGGACAGCATAGCCACGGGACACAACGCCGATGATATTGCGGAGACGGTGCTGATGAACGTGCTCCGTGGGGACACGGCTCGCCTACGACGTTGCACGGACATCAGGACCGGCGGTGGCGAGGATTCCATTCCCCGTGTGAAGCCACTTAAATACAGCTACGAAAAGGAGATCGTGATGTATGCCCACTACAAAAAGCTCGTCTACTTCTCCACGGAATGTGTATTTGCCCCCAATGCGTATCGCGGACATGCCCGAGCCTTCCTCAAGGACCTGGAGAAGGTGCGACCCTCCGTTATTATGGACATCATTTACTCCGGCGAGCAGCTGCGATTCAAGGACACCGTAAAGAAACCAGTGCGGGGCATATGCACTCGCTGTGGCTTCGTTTCGTCGCAGCAGCCGTGTAAGGCGTGTGTACTCCTTGAGGGTCTGAATAGAGGATTGCCCAAACTGGGCATAGGCAAAAAGTCCAAAGGTGAGCGCATGATTGCCAAGCAGGATCAGGAACTCGCCCTTCGGGAGCGAGCAAATTTAGTAAAAAACGATTTTTAGCATTTAAAATTGTGATTTTTATTCAATGTATGGGGTTAACAAATAGTTTTCTGCGAAGATTCCAGACCCTGCAAAGATAAAAAAAGACAAGTTAGCTAAATGGCTCAAATCAGCGATAAAGTCTAAAATATATAATGAAGCTCAGTGCCAATTTTTTAACCAGGGCCCATAACCAGCCAAGCAAGACTCCCTATCTCCAAAAAAATATTGGAGAAGTTTGTCTGCGCTTAACCTTTATATGTTGTCTGTGAATGGTTTAAGTGATCATCATTGAAGTCTTCATTTTTGTTTAACCAAAAAGGTTTTATACTAACCTTATTTCACAATTCTTTTAAGAATTATTCTGCTTCATCGAGTTTTCACGTACCATTAAAAGCCTGTAAAACAAATAGAGAAGTGATTTTAGTAAAAGAAACACAAAATAATAGTAAACATTATATTGAAAATCATCAGTTAATTATATTAAAAAGTTTGAATCACAACGGTTCATTAGAGATGTCAGAAAATTTAAAAGCATCATTGAATTTTAGTGGTTTTTAAATCAAAATAATAATTACCTTTTTAATGAAGTGGTACAAAATGGCTCATCAAATATTTAAATCCATTTATACTGAACTGTAATAAGAAATTTGAAAAAATTTTAATTGGAAGACAAAATCAACTTAATTTAACATAAATAGAATAGTGTTAAAACGAAATCAGTAAAAACTTGTATAACATCAATACATTTTTCAGTCGAAAGATGGTGTAAGTTTCATTCATCACAACATTATAGTTTTAGGATTTATAAGTAGACACCTTCAAACTGAAGATTTGGAAAGTTACTATTTATTGATATTGGATAATTGAAAGACATTAAGTTAGATTTATAAAGTAAACTTAAATTACCTTTTGAAATGGGTTTTTGGACCAATTTTGGAATTGGATGATCAAATCAACCGATTATTCCTCGCTGCAAATAAAAAATAATTGATTCATTAAAAACTAAAAAATATAAGGTATTCAAAAATGTAATATCTTTAAATTAAGATAAAAGTTCAGTAAAAACTTGTATAGCATCAATACATTTTTCAGTCGAAAGATGGTGTAAGTTTCATTCATCAGAAAGTTTTGTGGTGACTTTATTTTAATGCTAGAAATCTTATATTAAAAAAAAAAGGTTAATTACCATTTTAATTTGCGGATCAATAGACCTCCATGCTGACTGAGCGTCATACCCAAAGTCTGGACAACAGACCTAAAAATAATTAAAGGTTTTCATAAGTAATGACTACAAAATATTTATTTACAGTTTTTTATTTTTATAAAACTTCAGAATTAGTTATAACTGATTTGAATCACAACGGTTCATAAGAGATGTCAGAAAATAGAATAAAAAATCATCATAGAATGATTATAGTCTTTCTCAAGCATTACAAATGTACTTACCAGTTTGATCTTTTGTCCGAAAACCACGTGGTTGGTGATATTTACTCCTTTTTGTTTCTGTAAAGATAGGATTATTGAATTAGAAACTGTAAGTATACTAAAAATAACCTTATTAGAGGAAAAGGGAATGTCGACTTTACGAAAATAATATGCACCGCAAATTCGGGTATTATAAATTTGGGTTATGCTTGGGCAAAGTGCATTTTATCTGCGAACAAGTAAAAAGCACTAGCTAAAGTTGAGATTCTTTACACCAGCGACTCGTGTTCGCACAAATAACTTAAAAAAAATTTTTTGTTAAAAATTCAACTTACCAATTCACATGTGCCAACGTATTAACGCAGCACTAAATATTTACTGGATCACCTGCAATATAAATAATACATTGTTTAGATATTGTTATATTTTAATTTAAAACTTGTCGAGACTGCAAAGGATTCTGGACCACGTGATTGCAACTTGAGTTGCAATCGGTAAAGTGCATTTCCCTGCAGTGCACAAATTAATCTTGCAACATTGAGTTCTGCAAACAAGCCAAACGAACTCTATTCGCAGTTATATTCGCTGCAATCTCTGGCTATTGTTTATCTAAATAACTTACATTTTAATTAATTTGTGTTTTTGGTAAGATGTGATGCTTCCTCCACGTTTTATGTAAAAGTGAAGCAAATGAAGTTGGCTGCGATTAATGTAGAGACGCAGTGTGCCCGCCGATTTTACAAGCCGGAATACTGAAATTACTCGCAAAAGTGGCCACACTACGAAAACATTTTTAGTATGCTTATAACTGGTCGCACTCCCTTGTGGATAATGGGGTTTTGCGCGATTTGTGAGATTGTTCGAATCTACAAAGTTTTGGAGTATTTGTCCTGCGTTAGATGGCAAATGGCAAGATTAGGTTTTTCTTGGGAAACAGTCGAGTTCGACTGTGTTTTTTGTTCACTGACTGGGGACACCAGTGATGCCAGATCACCGTCATAAATACTGCAAAATCAAAGGGGGACTCCTGGAATATATTTAGATCTTATATATATTAAGTTATTTAATTCGAATTTATATCGCATTTAATATATAACCTTAATTAATGTCACTAGGTAATATCAATAGGTAATAAAAATATTAAATATGACTAAACTTCATGTTGAACATTTTAGTTTTGACATGATATGTCTGACAAACTTTCAAAAACCATGTGTGCATCTGTGTTCAAAATGGTCAATATCTTCGTTTGCAAAAGCAGCAACGTCTTTTAAAAAAGCCCTTTATTAAAATTGACCTTTTTACGTAAGCTGAATTTTTAATTGCAAAATAAATATTATTTGACTCATTGATTACTTTTTATTTAATATTAACAGCTAATAAATTTTAACGATATGTATTTATGTAAATTATTTCCAATGTTGGTAAACAGACCACTCCTGATATCGATTTCAGTTGTTCGATAAATTGGATTGCACCTCTGCGAGCGCGACCGTTCTAACTGTTTTTCTGGCACACCGACGCCGCACTAAGCTTTTTGTGTTAAATATTTCTATATTTCAGTCTTAACCGCAGGTGGAAAAACTCAAAATGACGGATTTCAATGCGTCCGCAGCCATGTTGCCTTTGGGTCTGTATTGGTGACTTCCCCATTCCATCTTGAAAACCTTAATTTTTGATCCGACAGATGAATACTACCAACAATGCGTAATACCAAAACCAAAAGTTCCGCCCCGGTACTCCACTAAACCCATTTCAAAGAAAAACAAACGCCAGGCTGGGCACTTGCGATCATACAAGGAAGTGGGTGAAGATGACGATGACGAAGATGATAATGAGGATTTCCTGGGCGCCGAGCTGGAGAGGAACTACCAGGAAGAAGGTGTCAAAGAGTTTGATGCCGATCTGAACTTTGAGATGAACGACTTCAAGATGAATTGGGAGGAAGAGGTCTCACCGAATCTAGAACTCTATCAAAGCTCCGCTCAGTGGCGCATATACGGCAACAATGTGAACCGGCCAGCAGGAGCAGCTCCTCTGGTGCCAAATGACCAGACACGTGGCAATGTTAAGTCGCGTTTGGATCTGAGAAATAGCTCCCGTTTTCGGGATAATAACAACCACAGGCGCAATCTTAACCACATCCAAAATCGCAACAGCTTCCATCGCGGACAGCAGCAGGCGCAGAGCGCCATGGAGCAGCGCATGCGCACCGCCTACAATGCCTTCAGTAGCCAATCAACAACAACAGCCTATGCCAAGCAGCCAGGCGACGTACTAACAAACATAAACAATCATTTCCAATATTCCCACCAGGACCCCAGTGACCTGCATACCACCACCAACACCATGGGATTCGAATCCAACGACTGGGCCGGACCCAGCTCAATCACCTCGCTGATCGATTCAGTGTCCAATATTCCAGATAATCGTGTCAAGAATCGTTTGGGCTGTGAAACCATTTCCGGATTGCCGCACACCTCATTGAACGATTTAATTTCCGGAGTCCCACAAGATAACAGTTTTCTGAAGTCAAACCTGGACACCGCGAATGATTCCGAGAGTATGAAAGTCAGCAAAATGGCCCGTAACGTGCTGCTCTTACTCAAGAGTGTGGCCCAGAAGACCGAGCAAGGTGCATCCTCTGATTTTTTTCAGGTAATGCCAAAATTTTATTTAGCTCGTCTTGAATTTTGCGACATTGCCTATGTAACTTGGAAATGTAAAAAAATGGAAAACTACGGATCTAAAAATATTGGTCTAAAGACCTTTAATTATCTGTATAATGCCGTTTTACAAATGATGTATCAAAAACAAGTTGAATTAAGAAAATCCAAGGCCATTTAAGTTTTTAATTTTAATATTTATCTAATGATAATTATTACTTATTTCAGAACATCGACTGGATGAATGGGCCAGGAGAGCAGCCCCGAAGTGACGCCATGCCGGGAATGGACGGGCAGTACCAGCAGATGCGCTTCAACTAGAAAACCGACAGCAAGTTAGACTTAGAGAGCCCATCTATAATAAGTTACTTTTTACCAGCCACATTATGTTTAAAATTTGAATTAGTTAGGATTGGCGGGCAGTTTCTGTGCGAATTGTTAGCCGGTGCAGAGCAAGAAGAAGATTTCGATGAGGTCCAGTGAATGACAGCGAGTGAACAGACGTCAACGTCGGCGGAGGTTTTTTTTATATACAATACATATTTCGGCTGATAAGAACAGGCTGGCCCGCTTATCAGCAATGCACAACAAGAAGTACACACAGACGGGCGAGATGTGAGAAGCGAAAGCGGACGAAAATAGAAACAAACGGCGATAAATTTACAGCGAAGGCGAATTTTCATACATAAGCGATGTGCCGAAGAGGAATAGAGTAATAATCAATCAGTTAATCAGCAAAACAGCCGGAGCGCGGACGTGAAAATGATCAGCGGGAACGGATAGCGGGATAGTGAGCAGTGATCGTAACTCCGCATAGTGCTTAACATTAACCTCAACCTACCTATGTATTGTGCTTTGTCGAATGTAGAACGGCATCTTAATTTGTTATTTTGTTTTTGGTCAAAAGCTGACAGGTGCAGCCAACAGAACAAAGATCCATCGATTTATTTCATTTAGTAACTTGTAGAGCGTAGTTTTTGTAGCGGTATCGAACTCAGTTTAACGATTTACCGCAAAGAATACCAAATAAACTTAAATCAGTACACTAAATGTTAGTTGTTCGTCCTCGCCAGTGCCCAGCATGTTGAAATCGAAGCAGTTGCTCCAACAATTTTCCAAAGGTAAGGATAATCGCGGTTTTGGAGCTGAAATGGCGCAATTTCAGTATTACACGCATCAGCTATCTGTGTTTTTGTTGCCGCCTTTATTATCAGCTTTTGGCATGTGCTGAAATAAACATAATACTATATCACCAGCTCGTAGGCTCGCCTTGGCAGGCTATAATCGCATCTGACTCTGACCAAGCCGAAGATTATCAGTAAACACTTTTTTTCACAAAATTCTTTGTCACGATGAACTTTCCCTGTTGGGAACTAAACTTGGGTAGAAGTAGATATATTCAAATAAAATATAGCCCTGTGTACCGAAAGCTTGTTGTTTGATACTAAATTATGTATTGCTGTCCCTAATAGGCCTTTATAAATTAAAATTAATTTTTTACGAATAAATGCCACTAATCAACAGACAGAAACGAAAGTGAAATCTATGCATGTATGTGAATGTTTTGAGCACCATAATAAAAGGAATTTGAGAAGTGCCATTACCTTATCTTATTGATTGAATCTTCAATAATTGAACAAAAAAAAAAGGGTAACCTATAAATTGTATTGTATTCAATTGGTTCTGTTCGTAGATGGAAATTCCGATCCGCTAACGATGATAATATGTGTGTATGGTAGATTAGATGCCTTAATACTTTATAATGAACTTAAAATTATTTTGGGGAAATACTTTCGTAGCTGACTGTGTGACTCATCAGCTGTTCTGGGAGATTCTAATCGAAATAAGTTTGTTGGGTTTTGGTTTTGGGGCGCAGGATGCTCGTGAGTGCCGGAAAGATTGTGCCAGAGGGGTTGAGTAAATTTCCTGCCACCGGGGGCACCTCAAAGATTGGACTAACATGGTCATCCTTTCCCATTTACCCGTTTTATAGAATACGCCAAATTCACGCCAGCCAATTTCAAGCTTAAGCGGGCCTTGGTAGTCACCAAGTTGTCCCGCTATGAGTTCGAGCAACTGCGTCACCCGGAGCTGTCGCAAGATCAGTTGCAGCAGAAGCTACGCGACCGGGGAACCGATGTGGAGATGGTCCTTTATCTGCACAAGGTTCACAAGGATTTCGAGCGACGGGTCGTGCAGAGCTTCCAGGACGTGGGCTGCGAGGTGAAGCTATCCAGCAGGTGCGTACATTCATACCCACTTCGTCCTCATAATCAGTGATCGGAATGGGTTTACCTGGTTGAGATTATTGGTACATATGTAGATTAGAGTGGTATATAAACTAGTATCTTTTGCTTACCGTTAAGGATTGTAGATTTAAACTTGTAAATTTGTTCTAAAACCAACAAGTGTTAATTTAAGTTTTATTTGTTTCACAATGGTCTCAACATATCGAAAAGTACGACACGAAATACCAGAATAAATTATTTGGCCAAAGGCAACACTACGTATGAGTGATAATCATTAAAGCCAATGCGCAGATTTTAATTACAATAAAGCGAATCGTATTAGAGAGAAAGTGGGACCCTTAAATTTGCATAAAAATTTGGATCGACCTTATAAACCTATTACAATATTTATTTTATAAATCTATATGAAAAGTTATAAAAAACATTTTCAAAAATGTTTAATTCACGTTTATTTTACAAATAACATAACATTAGTATCGCCACAATACTTTTTCTAATTTATGTGTGATAGGATATATCGGAACATCTACCTCCAAAGTCATAAAATAGAATTGAGTTTAACACATATAAATTTTTGTGCTTAAGTAAGAATGTCAGTACTTAATAAGGCGCCCATGTAGATATGCTCCCAGATCTCACTACCTAATGCCCTCCAATCACTGCTCCCAATGTTGTGCTGTGTGTCTCGTCACCTCGTCACATACTATACTTTATATGTATCTTCGATTCGTGACTACTACCCGCTACAATTGATCTCCACCATCCACACACTTCGTGTCTCCCATGCGGCCCTCGCCTTGTGTGTTGACTTTACTAAACGAGCAGACTTGAATTTAGAAGCTCGTTGAGCAAGGACGTCATGAGCTGGGCGGACGTCATCGTACCGGTAGGTGGCGACGGTACCTTCCTTCTCTCCGCCGGACGCGCCAGTCCGCTCTTCGCGCTCAGCCAGCAGAAAACACCGATCGTGGGCTTCAACTCGGATCCGCTCCGCTCGGAGGGTCGACTTATGCTGCCCAAGCACTACTCGGACAATCCCGCCGATGCCGTATCCCGCATCAAGAGCGTAAGTCCTGGAATTGGCATTCTCCCCTTTGTTTATATTAAACTATCAATCCTTGACAGGGCGACTTTAAGTGGATGCATCGCTCGAGGGTACGAACGACGATGTTGGGCAGCAATGGTAAGATCCCGGAGTCGACAGACCTCTTCCGCCACACAGAGGTCAAGATGGAGCAGGTCACGACTGCACCCGAAATGCTGGACCAGGACATGGCTTCCAAGTATAAAGCCAAAATGAAACGAATTCTTCCGTACTTGGCTCTTAATGAGGTATGACAATGAAGTATTCATTTCTCCAGGTCCATAAATAACATAATTCTACTGTACAGGTATTTATCGGGGAACATCTCTCAGCCCGAGTGTCCCACTTGCAGCTGGTGCTGGACCACCAGGACGTTGTGAACAAGACCAAGTGCTCTGGACTGTGTGTCAGCACGGGCACGGGCTCAACATCCTGGCACACCAGCATTAATCGCATCACTAGCCGAGATGTGGACGACCTGCTGCGATCGCTTCCCAATAGTAGTTCGAAAGACGTGATGATGCTACGCCAGAATGCGGAGGAGATCGCTCAGCGTTACAACCAGGGGCTGCTCTTTGCGCCGGACGACCCGCGTCTCTGCTACTCCATCCGGGAGCAGATCTGTGTGGGCGTGTGGCCCTCGCCAAAGACCTTCAAAGAGCGCGATTTTGTGCAGACGGTGTTCGTCAAATCGCATTGCATCGATGCCAGTAAGTAACTAAAAGTCCAGATATAAAACAAAATGTAATCCTGCAAATAATTACTTTCCCCAGACCTGGTTATAGATGGCAGCATTTCGTACCCCTTCAACGATGGCGCCAAGGTTTTGCTGGAGGTCCATCCCGAGGATGCCCTCCTGACAATCGCTTTAGACTGAATCCAGTGATGCCTCCCAAGTGCCTGGTTATTTAGCCCTAGCATGTCTGAATTTTTGAAATTATTTAAGTATGCATTTTGCGACTACTTAGCAGTGTAAGCTCAAAAGTTATTTTGTTATTATATAAACATATATTTAAACATCACGCTTTAACTTTTCTTTTTGATTTTTGGATATTTTGTTTGCCCTTTTGGACTTGGGCGGGCTTTCCATTTTTGAGCCTTTTCAATGGCTTCTGGTCGGCTCCTTCCTTGGGGCCTCGACTTCGTCCTTTTCCTTTTTTTTCAAATCGAGAACTGTCCACAGATTTAAAGCGTTCGTCTTGAAGGAGAGCCTTGCCTTCCTCGCTAGCTGCGGACTCTTCCTGCTGCAGTTTCCTTTTCCGACGAATCTCCTTCAGCTTATCTTTCTGCTTTTTGCGGTAGCTGAAGTTTAAATTAAAGTTAGGAAAACGTTTATTGTAAAATGATTTCGACTACTTACAGCGCTTCCATTTGGTCTGGATCCTTGCCCTCCATTATCCACGTTTTGCGTCTGTAGTTCTGGGCCCGTTCATCGAAATCGTTATTGTCCAACAGCATCTCAGACTCACGGCGTGTTACATTCACTTGCATGAAAATTCGCTCCACCATGCGCTCTAAAATATTTGAATGTTAATTTAAATAAAGCTATATTTTTGTGTTTATTAGAAGCGTACGATCGATTGGATGCTCGGTAAGCTTTGTGTTGATCTCCTCTTCGATGGCGCCCAAGAGCTCCAAATCCCGCGGAAAACGGAATATGGAAATGGACATGCCTTTTCGTCCCGCCCTCGCTGTCCTGCCCACACGATGGATGTACTCCTTGGGCGTCCGAGGAAGCATGTGATTCATAACCAGCTGGACACTAGGTATGTCCAGACCCCTGGCAGCCACATCGGTAGCAATCAGTGTGCGAATGTGGTTGGACTTAAAACGACTTAGGGCAGCTACGCGCTCCTTTTGCCGCATAAAGCCATGCAAGCAAACATTGTCAATATCCATGTTCTTTAGCGTCATCGAAAGCAGCTGGCAGTATCTAAAAATAGTTTAGATTAGATTTAAATAATTCAATAAATTAATATTCAAATCTATAGTAATTTAGATCTTATCTATTAGGTTTCACTTACTTTTTTGTGTTGGTGAAAATCATTACATTGGCGTTTTCGTTCTCCTCGCGGTACTTTCTAAGTGACTCGATCAAAACCATGTCCCTATCGTAGTCGGCGCACAGCAGATAACGTTGGTCCAGAGTGTCCACAGTGGCCACATCGGAATCCTGCGACCACTCGAGGCACTAAACACGGAAGAAAACCATTTAACAGAAGCTCGCATTAGCATATTAAACAAACTCACATCACTGGCAATGGGAAATATGCTAGACTCCTTCATGAAGTCCTTCATGGTGGCGGAGAAGAAGAGATTCTGCCTAGTCTTGGGCAGACACCTTTCGATTATAGCCAGGCTCTCGTCAAAGTCGCCGTTTAGCATGCGATCCGCCTCGTCCACAACCAGGTACTTGAGATTGTCGAAGGAGAACGTATCGCAGCCGGTGAGGTGGTCTGCTAAGCGTCCGGGCATGGCCACCACGATGTGTGGCCGCTGCATCAGCTTCTGGCTTTCGATCATCTGGTCGGTACCACCGGAAACGACGCATACTCGCACTCCCATCGCCTGTCCGGCCACCAGGAACTGCTCGGATATCTGGTAGGCCAACTCGTGCGTGGGCGTCAGCACAAGGGCGAAGTGGCCCACTGGCTCCTCGCTCAGCCGCTCTAGAATGGGCAAGGCGAAGGCAAAGGTTTTGCCGGATCCAGTCTTGGCTGCCCCAATGCAATCCTTACCAGCCAATATAGCCGGAATGCAGTTTTGTTGGATAGGAGTTGCTCCCTTCAGGCCTAAAACCGTCGAGGATGAGGTTCAATTACTTGGTTCAAATAAAGTCTGACTTAACATTACCTAACTTTGTCAGCTGCTTCACCAACCAAGGACGCAGGCCCAGGATTTGGAAGGGATTGACCTCCTTCCGTTGCATTTCGGTGAATAAAAATACACCGAAGTAAAAAATGAAAACAACGTGCGAGAGTTCTGTGATCTAGTGATGGAAAAATGCCTACAATCGATTGCATTAACAACTATCGATGGTTGCTTATTATTGAAAATTATTTTTCAGCTTTTTTATTTTCATTATTAACCCATTTTAAAGCCAACATAAGATTGGCTGACACGCAACTATTATTGTAATCTAGTTTTATATAAGCATGCATCAATAAAAATAAATAAATCTATAAGTAAAAAACTTTAATAACAAAAATCTACTACAATCAAACGATAGACTGGTTTTCACATCCCTATCAGGTGTCTTGGCGCGAGCATTTTGTAAACACACTGAGGTCTTTGGATCTGGCTTCATTAGTTAAAGCTACAATGTCCGAGGAATCTGAAAACCAGGCTATATCCCTATCTTTCAGCGAGCTGCAAGCTATAGACCAGGAGGATATCATCTTGCTAGTCGACGTGGACTCGGCTGTAAATATCTCCAAAGCATGTATCGCCAATGATTCCGCCGATCGTGTAGAAGTCTTGACGTTGTGGTTTAGTAAATTATTAAGGGCGTACCTTGATGAATCGGTGTGCTGCTTCCAAGCGGTTAAGTCAATGTGCGATTGGTTTTTTCATGTAGGTCTTGTTACATACATTATGCTCATATTAATTGACTCTAGATCCAATCATCAGGTATCAAACAATTCTTACGGAGTAAACAGCGATCAAACAAAACTTTTCAACGAGGTTCTAGCATTCTTAACCGCATACAGGAATCATTTGCTGAAAGCAGGCGAACGTCTCGTTCATTGGTTTGCCAATCTTCTGTTATTCATGATTGACTTTCTCGAGGAAGAAGGGTAAAAGTAAAAGCCTGTTTAGATGAATCTATTTATACAAGATGTATTTGTTTCTTATGTATTTCATTCAGCAAAGAAAGTGAGCATCAGGTTCGTGTAGGTATTCATTTTGAAGTGCTTTCCCTGCTAAAGAAGAATACCAGTGAATCAAAAACATTCCAACCTCGCATCACGCCCTGTAAGTTAAGGTGTATTTTCTAAAATTATTTTTCACCCATGATGGGGCTCTTACTTTTGATGTCTTCTTTGCGATAAATGTTTTTTTTACCACTTTTAAGATATTAAAGTAAAAATTTTCCCTACTTCTCTATATTCAGTGATGCAGACAATAATGCAACACGCCGAGTCCGCAAGAAATAACTTTCGGGATCTGGAGTTACCGGTCAAATCAAGCGACACTATTACTTACATGTGCGTTCACTACATGTCGTGCGTTAATCTCAAGGACGAACCAATGCCCCAATGGCTTAAGGAAACGATTTTGCATCTATGCAAAATGGTTTTCGGTTACTTGGAGGATCTTTACAAAAACGTGAGTTTTGCAGCGATTTTTAATCAGAGATAAAACAAATATCAATTTTTAGGGCCTACTTACTGTTCCCGAGGAAAAGTTAAAAGAGTTTATGAAAGTTATGCGCGCATATTTCTTAATGTTGCAGCAGATTTTCAGAAATGGTTTAATGCAGGTTGACCGAAATGTGGCTGTTTGTATTATGGATTTATTTATGTGTGACGAAACGTAAGTTAGTAAACATTCATAACCATTTGCATCAACTATTTGTAATTTTAGTACGCCTTCACATTATTCTGAAGAATATATTCAACAGCTTATATCTACGTATGTTAGACCATATATAATGGAACTTTATGAGCTGATTTATTCATTCGAAGAATGTCAAGAGGTAAGATAAAAACAATATATCAGGCATTTTTTAATAACCGAGTTTATATTTAAGTATTTATTATTTAGTATTTTTGGCCCACCAGAAGAGGATTACTTCGATGTTTGCTTAGATTTTGTAACTGCTGTATCTACAGACGACGCTGATGTTCTCCCAAAAACATGTCAAACACTGCAGAAAATCTTTGAATATTTGTTTAAAGGTAAGGCATCCTAATTATGATCGATTTTGTATATGATTTGATGGGCCCATAGATGCCACAAACTTTGTCAATGCCGAGCGCTATGAACGAGTTATGGATGCTTTTGGTAGTCTACTCTACTTGGTCCCCATCAAAGAACTACATAGCTATTTTTGTGCTGGCTTATTTCAAAAGGATATTATCACGTCCCAAGTGTGTGCTGATATACTCATGTTGTGTTTTCGGTAAGAAATTGTATATTGAGAACTTTTAAATTAAATTAAAAAATATATATTTTAGGCTAAAAGAGGAAAATAAGTGTTGGACTCCTATTGATATAGAACAGGCTATAGTGTTCTGGAATAAGTGCAACAACTCTTATTGCATGTTTTCAAAAAATCCAAGCCAATGGCATGTGCAGCGTTTCCTTAAGTATTTTCACTGCCTGGGAAAGCAGGGGCTTCCTGCTTTGAGCATTCGGAACTTTCGTCACCTCTTGGCAGTTATTACTGAAGATAAACAAATAGGAATACAATTGTTAAACCGCTTAGATCATGTCTCATCTGCGGCCCCCACACAAGTTAAGGACTACTATGAAATGGTTAGTATCAGTTACTTTTCAAAACTTAAAATTATAACCTCTGCTTTATCAACAGGTTGCTATGCTAGAACTTTTAGTGAAAAACAGACACACAGACTGTTCCCAGTGGTTTCAGCGTTCTTCAGACATGTCCAAGAAAGTGATGAGTATTGCCAACAGTACGACCTTCACTAGTGCATACTTTAAGCTGCTGGCTTTTGCTAATAAACCCACCCAGTTGCTGATATTACGGGGACTGGCTTCAGGAAATGGGTGTACAAACTGGCATCGACAGAGATTTATTGACGCTTGCAAAGTCAGCGATGATGCCCAACTAAAAGCATTTAGTGCACGCCACTTAATCGATGCTGATGCTCAGCTTTTACTTGAGACTATGCGAGGAAAACCCAAAACTTCAGATACATCAGTAGATGGTTTATTTGATGTCAGTAAATCGAGCTACACACGCAATTCGGAACACAAGTGCTTAGTTTCTAGCCTGAAACGTAAGCGGAATGAAATACCTCCCAAGCAAATCCTACTTGACATTTATGAGGGGTCTCTTCAATTAAGCCAGAGCACTGATGATTTTGATGCTGCCGATTGGGATCTTCACAAAAAAGTGTTGGCTAACTTGAGTAGTATTTTACCAAGATCTTAACTTTATCCGTTTAATGTACTTCTAATATAGAGTCCGACTAGTTTACATATTCAACATAATGTGATCCAAATGTCGCATATCGGTGGGTAAGCTAATGAATTTATTGAGGTCGGAACGGGGGGTACTATAATCCTGAATCAGAATACCTGGTGAAGCCGTTGTTTGCGTTAAAACACAACAGATTAAAAAATATATCAAAACCTACCTGCAAGTGACGCTGAAGTAAAGCTGACGAAACTGCCAGCAAAATAGGCTCGGATGGCCACATTGGTAATGTCTAGTCGTCGGCTTGGGGCCATTGCACTTAGTGCAGCGATGAGGATGCCCAGTGATCCTGGGTTGGCAAAGCCGCAAATTGCAAAAGTGGCTATAGCAGAACTCCGCGCCTGTAAAATTACGGAAATTATCAATTTGTCCTTATATATAATTCTAATATAGGCAGATAGATATTTACGTCGACCTTGTCCTCGTTCATTAACTCGCCCAGGTGTTTATAGGCGATGAACTCATTTATCAGCGATTTCTCGGCCACGATTAGCGCAATGTCTTGACAGTCGTACCACGGTACACCCATCACGAACACAAATGGGACAAAAATCTGGGAGAGCAGGAAAAGCATTGTGATGCCCTGCAGCCCGATTAGCTCAAAAGTCCATTCAACTATGGCGTTGAGGAAGGACACAATGGCCAGAAAGGCAATGATGTTCGCCACGATTCCGAGCACAATCAACAGAGCGGCTGCCGCTCCACTGGCGGCTGCATCCATAATGGAGGAATCCGGCCTTTACCAGGTGATTAAATTTACAAAATTGAAAATAACAAGGAATCTTAAAAGAAGGGAATTTACGCTTACGACTTCTCTATTTGAATGTTATCAGATCTGGTCATTGATTCCTCCGTCTCCGGGTAGAACAGCTTTGAGAAGGCCAGGGCGCCGGGAGCAGCCATCACGCTGGCCGAGATCAGGTAGGCGGGCGAGGCGCCAAAGTACACATAAGCCCCAAAAACCGTTCCCGACACTGAAGCATAGCCGGAGGTGCAGATTGTATGTAGCTCGCTAACGGTCAGAATTATGATGTACGGTCGGATTAAGAGGGGACTCTCGGACATGCTTAGGAAGACGTTTCCCGCTGCATTCACGCTCTCACAGACAGTGGTGCCCACCGTGGCTTGCAATAAAAACCCAAAAGAGTTCAGGACGAACTGCATCCAGCCTAGGTAGTACATGATGCTCGAAATCACGCTGAAGAAGAACACCACTGCCAGTATGGCAAAGGCGAAGACGAACTCGTCGCAGATTCGATCACCGTACACAAAGCGTGCTCCGTACTGAGCGTAGCTCAAAAAGGTGACCACCTTCTCGCCGAAACAGTGGAATATAGCGTTGCCGAAACCGACGCGCAGGCAGATAATCCCCAGCAGCAGCTGGCCCAGGAGGCCGTGTGTCACAATGCGCCACTGGACACTTTTGTGATGCTTGGACACTGCAAATCCGATCAGGATAAAACACAAGGGTCCCATCAGTCCGATCACCTTGTTCGTGTCGCTCCGGCACTCGTAACCGAGGTAGGCTACTACCACTGAGACCACAACTGCCAGCATTACACCAGAGACGATCCTATAATTGAAAGAATAATTTACATATTTTTATTTAGCACTCTTATAGTTCTTAAATAGCATTGCATATTTATTGGCGGCTGTCTAAATCTATTGTAGCTTATACAATCTAAAACCCTCAACTGTTATTCATGCTAGATCGAAAATTTTTTTTTTTTTTTTTTTTTTTTAATATACTTTATTCTTATTTATTGGATCTTCTCTATTACTTAAGAGACTAACAATAAGTTTTCAAATCTTAATCTATGTTACGTTAACTTATGTTATTGAAAAAGGGATGGGAAATCATTCCGCTGTAGACGGGAATGATAGCTTAGCCGGTTGAGTTGTCTGGCAAGCAGGTTTGGGTGATTTGATAATCTGGCTTCATATTTAATTTTTCTGGAAACAATTTCTTCTTTTACGGGATTTATATCCAGGTCTCTCTGGATGTTTGCATTGCGGATGTACCAGGGGGCTCCAGTTATTGTTCGTAGGGTCTTTGATTGTACTCTTTGAATAATTTCTATATTGCTGCTGCTTGCGTTTCCCCAGAGCTCGGAACCGTAGGTCCAGATCGGCTTTAAGCACGAGTTATATATATCCGAAAACGGAAAGGAAACGGAAAAAACATATTTCTCTCTGTTCCTAAACGTATAAAGGCATTTAACATTTTTAAGCAAATCCAAAGACAAACTATTTGAACGGTTTTTTTCAAAATACAGATTTTTTCCCGAAACAGGGAACTAATATAAAACTTTCGTTTGCTTTATTAGCTCACTAAACGTGTGCTTACTCTTTTCTAAGCCGTTTAGATTTCACTCATGTTTCAACTCACCACTTGCGACTAAACACAATCCATGAGTCTATGGCTGGCTCTAGGTAATTATTGTAAAGCTTGATGCCTACATATGGCTTGAATACCCAGTAGTAAAGCCACAATATATAAAATGTAACAAACATGAAGATGAGAAATCCGTATCCATGGCACCAGTTAATGTTACATAGAATATTTGGCTTAAACTCGTTCTCAGCAAGAAATCTTTCGGCTGATACTTCTGTGGTGGTTTCACTTAATGTTGAGTTTTCCACCGTTTCGGTCGTTTCCGCGGGATTCTCAGGTGGAATGCAATCATCGGAATCCTTGTCTATATATGCATTTTTAATAGGTCGTTTCATATTTGTAAGAGCGTTCAAAATACCCACCATACAAAATATATACGACTGTTGCTCCAATAAAGTAGAATATTAGGATTATGTGAAGCAAGACATGAAGGACTAAATAGGTAATTCGTTTCGCCTTCGATGGAGGTGGCTTCTCCTCTCCTTCTGCTGCTGGAGTATCCGTATCAGCCATTGTGAGTAAATTTAGAGTGGAACGTGTTTAAATATATCTGTAAGTATGACTTGCATCCCATAGCCCTCTTATAAGTACTAGTACAATAACAAACAATATTTTTTTTAATAAATAAGAATTTGTGTATTTTGCTTAATTTGATCAGCTAATTATCACGATCTAAAACTTCCAGGAACTAAAAGTCCGTTGCATTTTTCCGCCCCAATTTCTGGAATATCCTGTTGTAGCTCACCTTCTCATCTTCTTCTTGTATAAGGATGCCTGCAAAAAATTTAAAATAAAATAAGCATTAATAATTCTCGAATATTTTAGATCGGTTAACTCTACTGACCTGCAAAACTAGCTGACACGAAACAGACTATGCTGCCCACCACAAAGGCTCGGAAAGCCACCTGAGTGATGGTGGAGCGACGATGGGGCGCCATGGCACTGAGGGATCCGATGAGGATGCCCAAGGAACTGGGATTGGCGAAGCCGCAGATGGCGAACGTGGCGATTCCAGCGCTGCGGGCCTGCGATAATTTAGGTTTTAATTTCCTCATAAGTGATTCCATCAAATCCAGTAAATACTTACGGTGATTTCGTTGTTTTCAATGTATTGACCCAGTCGCTCATAGGCTACAAATTCGTTGATTATAGTCTTTGAGGCCACTACCTTAGCAATGATGTCGCAGTCCTGTTTTGGAACGCCCATCGCCCAAACGAGCGGGATGAACAGCTTCGAGAAAATCCACTCGAAGTCGATGTCATCGAGGCCAACCAAGAAGCCAAACCAGCTAACCAGGCCATTGAGGAAGGCGACGAAGGCCACAAAGGCCACTATATTGGCGATGATGCCGAGGACAATTGGCACGGCGTTGCTGGCTCCACTGGACGCAGCATCCAACAGAGAAGAGTCCTGCCTACATTAAGAAAATATAAGTATAATAGTAAGACTTCCAAACTTTGTCCATAAATTGTTAATTAATTCCAAAACATAGCATCGTATTAAGAGAACAATAAGCTACAGGCTGTATCCCGACGCGACTTTAAATTTTTTCTTTCATAATAATTTTTTTAGGCAATTAGGAACAACTTAACAAATTTCGAGCCTAATTGCCCCAGCGGTTCTTAATTAATGGATTACTTTACTTCTTTAAACCATTTTTGTGTAATACAAATATAAATATTAAATATAGATTGAATATTTATATTGACTCTTTAATGATTGTTTCTTGTCTATACTACTATATCCTTGTAATAAAGTTATGTTATTTTAAAATACTTACGATTTTTCCAGCTCAATCGAGTCCGATGAAGTCTGGCTCTCCTCCGTCTCCGGCATGTAGAGCTTGGAGATGGCCAGTGTGGCTGGAGCCGCCATCACTGACGAGGTGATCAAGTGGGCGGCCGAGGCTCCAAAAGACAAATAAGCCGCCAGGACCGTGCCAGACACAGTGGCAAAGCCGGACACCATAATGCTGTGGATTTCGCTCTTGGTCAGCTTATTGATATACGGCCGGATGAGTAGGGGGCTTTCGGACATGCCCAGGAAGATGTTCGCCGCCGCCGTGACACTCTCGCAAACAGTAGTGCCCAGAAGCGCCTGCAGGATCCAACCCAGCTTGATCACTATCCACTGCATCGTACCCAAGTAGTACAACAGTGATATGAAGAAGCTAAAGAAGAAGATCACCGGGAGGATGGCGAAGGCAAACACATTGTTTACTACGAGGAAGTCTCCGAAAACGAAGAGGGCTCCATCGGTGGCATAGCCCAGGAATGTAGCCACCTTGTTGCCCAAACACTCGAAGATCTTGCGGCCCACTTCCCAGCGGATGCAGAAGATGGCGAGAAGGAACTGGCACGTGATCCCGGTGATCACGATGCGCCACTTGATGGCGTTTCTATTAGTGGAGAACACGTAGCCGCACAGGATGAAGAAGCACGGCGCCACCAGGGACACCAGCTTCTGCGGCTCATCACGGGTCTCAAAGTACACGAAGATGGCCAAAAGAGCCAGGAGCACTGCGATGCTGGCCAGTGAAACAACCCTGGGCGTAATAAAAAGTGTAAGTATAGTTTCGGAAATTAAGTTAATAAACTGGAAATAGCACTTTATTCATTTAAGACCTCAAAACCAAAAAAATTATTTCTTTCTTAAAAATGTTTTTCTAATATTGTGTCTAGATTGTTTATATAAGGAAAATAATAATAATAAGATAAAATATTTAATGATATAAGTGAGGATCAGCAAGAAATCAACTATAAAATAAAAAGACTAATCTTCGTTAGAGTTTAAATAATTACTTATAATTAAATCAATTTTCTAAGAAATGTTTAATTATACTCAAATTATTGATACTTTCTAGGTAAAGTGAATTGTAATAACTTCAAGTTTCTGGCAGAAAAACATATAATAGTAAAAAGTAAATAATAGTGATAAAACTTACCTGGTCCTGCTAAAACTGTGCCACTTTTTGGACCAGGGCCTTAGGTAGTTTCTGTGTAGGCTGAGCCCCACCATTGGCTTGAAAATGTAGTAGTAGAAGAGACCCAAATATGTGAATCCCAGCAGGAGCAGAAGCATTCCATAACCCGTGCAGAAGTTAATACCACATAATTCGTTTTTAACTCCCCAGGTACAATCATATTTGTCTGAATAGGGTTTAAGGTTATCATATGGATTTGCGATTATTCGATGTAATACTCACTGATGTCGTTATAATGATAGGTGGCATAGGAGAAGTAGGCCACAACAACAAGGTGCAACAGTACATAAATTGAGATCCTCACAATACGCGCAACTTTCGGATTCTTATCTAAATATCCTTCTTTTTTTGCGACGTCTGTAATGTTTTCCAGTTGCACTTCTTTAAATTCATCAGAGTCATGTATGTGCAGTTCTTTCTAAAAAATGGATTATATTTAAGCATTTCATGGTGATTGGCATTTCTAAAAGCTAACTTACATGATCCATTTCGTAGCCATTGTTAATGGCCCCCTTCGAAGAGTCGGCTGACATCTATAAAACAACAAGTTATTGGTCATTCGCGGTAATCGTAATCTGGCATAATCTGGCATAAGCTGTATCAAATTATTTCAGCCATCGAGTGGGCAGATATGCCAAGTGTCCAACGCCAAAAGATAGGTTTCTTTCGGCCAACTAAATCAAGGTTCAACAAGTTAGACGACTTGTGCCCACTCGAAAGAAAGCGATAAGTCTGGAAACTTCACTTCAATTCGCACATGGTTTTCGAAAGTCAATGGCTTTACTGCAACACGTGGATCAATACTCAAATAGTTTCCGGTCATTAAACGAAAAGGTTAGTTGCGGGAATTGGTGGTAAACTGCCGCACTGGGTGTAAATAAGCCACTTCAACTTAAATTCTTGATATATGCGGGTTGTAAATCCCATTCAATACAATATCACCGTTAGGAGGCCTTTCGGTTGGGATTTCACAATGGGAGTAATCAAAAATGTACTGATAGCACTATCTAAGTGGTATTTAACCAAACTCGTGAAAGTTAATAAAGCACTTATTTATAATCGGCCGATTCTGAGAACAAGCTAGTATATCCCGTGCAATATGCACTTAAATAACTTGTCACCAAAGCACACTTGTTTGCCTAAGTATTAATGTAATTCATTCGTAAACTGTAGTAAAATAAACAGATTTTACTCTTGTGTAAATACCACAATTAATAACTTTGTGTATAAAGTCTAATTAATTTAGCGCCTTGATTTCGTGCAACGCCAGTTAATTCACCTTTTTATATGATTTGTTTTCGCTTCGTATCTAATGAGTACTATCGGTTTGTTGTGGCCGAAACGGGTTTTCAATGTCGTTACTCTCGGTGCGTACTGGCCGAATACTAATTGCTGATTAATGCATCTGCTAAGTGGGATTAAAAACTGTGGCTAACTGCCATCGTAGCTCGTTGAAACTCGCGGCAAGACTAAATTCACCAAACTGCGGCAGGGAGTTTTTAATACGATCGCAAGTACACGGTATTTGATAAGGGCATATCAGATTCGGATCGACACGGTTCGTTTTTAACTTTGGGAACTATCTAATGATTTATAATATCTTGATTTCTATTGGCCTTGCCGATTAAAATGCATTCTTCCATTTAAGAGTGAATGACACTTATGTTCTCATTAAATGCCATTAAAATTTTTTAAATTCGTAATTAGGCTAATCTTCATATATTTGAATTTATATTTGGCAATGGGTACTTGGCAGCCACAACTCAATTTGCTTGCGCTTGAAAGCGAACACTGGGATTTATTTTGGAAGGCGCTAATTCGCTTTAACTACACAGAAATAATTATCAAATAAATATTAGTTTGATGGTGACAACTCATTTTCTCCAGATAAAGTTGTAATTTAAAGTTGAACTTAAAAAGAACCGAGTGTCTTTTAAGGATTAGGTTTATCAATTTAAGTTAAAGCGATTTAAAAAAGTTGCTTAAACATCTTGTTGAAAGAGTAGTACTAAGTTCGGTTAATCAATCTTTAAATTTCGTCTAAATGTACTCAATATTTTTTCTCTGTACATCTCGGCAATTAAGTGGAATACACCTGCAATGGAAGTGTGTCGTTGAATAGGCAATTGGGATGACAAGTGCGAGTATATTGTTTTATCAGCTGGTTTTTACAAATGAGAGGTGCTCGGCATGGGTGTTATGTAGAGATAACTACCAGGAGGGGCTATAAACCTCCCCGCAGATCGCCACCGATAGCGATGACGTCTGAGATATGTGATTGCGATAGGGTGGAGGTAAATTTACTGGGCCTCGACGATATGGAATCGTACTCCCGCCCATTGATAGAGGTCTGGGGCATCGTTACTGGTGGTCGAAGGCAGCAGCGATTACGGAAATGTCACAATTGATTGGCCAATCGCTGAGAGTCATAAATAGTCGAGTGCAAAGTTGAAAAAGATTTCCAATCGCAATTCTTTGCGATTTTATAAGAAATTGAAACATATCTTATCGCCGAGCCCCTCGAGTGACAATCTAATCCAAATAGGCATATCACAAGAAAACCGGTAGTCAACTGGATTCATATTTAATTCGCAACTTTAAACGCTTGCGTCTTATATTTATTAATATATTTATGTTTCATATTTTATTCATATTTGCAATCGACTTACAAATGCACTTAGTTAGGATGGAGGTGAAGGATTATGCATCGACAGCAGTTTGACTTAATGAAAATGTGGTTCTTATAAAATCTTAAAAACAAAACAGAACAATAGTTTCCAAGGGAAAATTTTGAGATTTAGGGCTGCTCTTGGTGCTTCGTTGCTAGCAGGAAGGCACTTTTAACCTAGTGACTTAATTATATAACAAAACTGTATTCCGGGACTATAATCGCTTATCAATGGAATCGAAAATGCTTGATTTGGTTCGTCCTTGGCTTGCTGGTTTTCGAGTGGATTGTGCAGAAGTCTGGGATTGTAATGCTTCGATAAGGCATTGATTAATTTAGTTTACCATCTAAATATTTTACTTAAATTCGTGTTAAACGTTTTCCGGGTTTGCTTTTCATCATGAGGTTCTAACAATTTTCATAGCAAAAAATGTGCGAATTCAAACACATCTAAATCACAGGCTTCTAATATAAGAGAGATTTTAAAATTAAAATCGAATTTCGACCGAAAATTTGCGCTTAGCTTACAACGAAATTTTAAATATAATTTAAATAGGATACCGATCAACTAAAAACTAATTAAGTCAACTGGCCCTAAAGTTACAAATATAAAACAAGAAATAATTATAAGACCAGCATGAGTGTGGGTGAGAGAGAATGGGTATGGGTGGATGGATGATCGCGACATCTATTCCTGCTTGTGGGTCGAAAACTTGTGGTGCTTGGGGTGGTGGCGCTGGTGGTGGTGCTGGTGGTGCGTATGGTGGTGGTGCTGGTGGCCAGTCCGATGTCGGTGGTGGTTCGAAACGGGCTCCATCTGCTGTTCGCTGCCGCTGGCCGAGGACATCGCCTCCTCGGCCCCGATTTCGGCCTCGACCTGGGCGGATTCGGAATTCGATTGGTGACTGTGGTAGTGGCGTCGGTGGTGCAGGTGGACCCGATCCCGCTGCTGGCTCTCGTATTCGCCGCTCTCGTCCAGCTGGTTGTCGATCGTGGGTGAGTTGGATGTGGTGGATTCGATGTACGTTCTGCTCTTGGGTGTGTTGTAACTGCTCTTCATGGAGTTGCTGCCGTTGAAGAGAAGGTCTAACCTTGGTTTTCTGTGGAAAATAATAATTCAATTGTTAATAAATTAATTGAACTTAGGCTTATTCTTGTAATTGATAATAGACTATCTTGAAATCGTACTTATAAGTATTCTTTGCTTTAAATTTATTTGAAAGTTTAACAATCTTGATAATAGAGAGATAATTCACGTATAGAGATAATTCACGTATATAACGAATGTATTTCCTTTTTAAGAAAGGTTGAATTCAAAATTATAAATTTACTTAAAATGTTTAAATTGCTTAAATAATTAAATAGAAATAATTCAAATTATTTAATTTAAGTTATTCTACTTAAAAATTTTACATTTACTTTACAGAACTCTGTTATGTTAACCAAAGCTAAGCAGTTGACAAGCAGTACTGTCGATCAGCTATTTAAAGCAGTGCTCGGCGGGAAGAATTCAAAACGCAATCGATATTTTCAAAGTAAAATTAAACCTAGAAGGGGAAAATGTATATAACACTTACCTTGGCAATGTCCAACTCGCCAGATGAGACTTAAACGGTTCTGTTCGGTAAACACTCCATGGGACTGCAATCTCTGCAAAATACACGTAGCCAAATAAACCATTAATATTGGCTTCAAATGTATGGTAGGTCATGCAATGCAAATTGGAAATCGCGCAAATGAAAGGGCATGCAAAATAGCAACAACAAGAACAACAACATCGACAAGAATTTTGCGCAGCAAAAAGCGCAGAAAACTGAACAACAACAAACAAAGCCGAGCATTGCGCACAACGGTGCGTATAAGCAATTTCGATTAGTAGCACCTTGGGCTGAATTCTGCGTCTGCGAGTTTGTATCTTACCGATCCAGGGCAATAACTTTCAAGACATGAATCAATCCTAAACAGATCTCTGGATTTTCGTTACTTCCGCTCCACTTTGGCCACCCAACCTCATGAATTTTTAAATATTCGGACAGAAACGTTTCGTAAGTGAAACGTGCTGGGTAGAAATTGTAAATTGAGCCTTAGATTCTGCTGACTTGCCTGCACAATCAGACGACTAGGTATTTTTTTTTTTGTATTTCTTTGTATTACGTCTACCGATATTCGAATTTAGTCTGCAATTACTTTTTTTTCCTTTTCGGTCGGCTCAATTTACGTCTGACTGCTGTCCGGCCCCCGAAATCGCCTGAGTAATGACCTTTTAGGTAATGTAAATAAATTCGAATCGCCGCGATAGTGGGAAAGGGGCCTGTCGCTATCGAGATGAATGGGATTTATGAGTGATAGATAGAGAGTGACTGATGGGGCGGCTGGGAGGTGCCTCCACTCCGTTCCTGGGGCCGTTAGTTAAACATGGCAAACAACACGCTTACCTGCCTGCTCGCAAGTGGGTGGCTCGAAGTAGAGGCCCGGCTTCAGGGGATTCTCCTCGTCGTCGTGCACCTCGATCATCAGCAAGCCCACCACGCTGGTAATCAACTGGTTCTGCGGCTGCTGCTGGCGGAGCATCTGGCGGTGCTGTTGCTCCTGGCGGTTCTGCTGCTCCCAGTAGGCCAGGGCGCACTTCACGTCGATCTCCACCCAGCCGGTGGAGGAGCTGCTCAGCATGGCGGTGTTGCAGGTGCGCTTCTTGCGCTCTGTGGACCAAAAAGGGGATTTGGATAAGAAGTGGATAAGTGGATAAGACTGGTCTTATATTTAATTTATCAGTATCAAAAATTTAGTTTACAAGTGGTTTCAATTCCGGAGAATTCCGGAAAAGCTGAATTGTACTTTTATATAATCGATACAAATTAATAATTAATAAAAAATCAATTTTGCTGACCAAGCTAGGCGTTCAAAATGACGCAACTAATGAAGTTTGATTATAAAACAGATGTGAAAAAAATATTTTATTATGTTCGCTTACAAATTGTGTGAGCAAAAAATAAAAATATACATAAATGCTAATCCCATGTATACGATTCCTACTTACGTTTCTTCCTCTGCTGGAGAATAATGGAGACGGTTACCCGAATCTGGGGACCCACGGTCGGCTGCTTCGCGCAATTCGGTGCCATGGTGCCCGGCGACTCCGTGCTGACCGGCTGAGCGGGAATCTGGCCGGGATCCTGGTCGCGATTCTGGCCGGGATTGGTCTTATAGAGGCGGAGCAGAGCGCTGCTCAAACGGTCTTCGCTGTTGGACGAAAAAACAGTGCTGGCAAAATGGAGTGTCACGTTGTTGCCCAGCTGCCATTCATCCGAGTTGGTAGTTTCCTTATCGCAGAAGGGAAAGCCGGCCTTCTCCTTGGATACGCCACTGTTCTCGTTTAAGATGGTCTTCTGAACAATCTGGGCGATGTCGTTGAGTCTGCAAAAACAAAGGTTTAGACTATAAGATAACATATAAAATGTTACTTGGCCGCACCATCTATATACATGTATATTTAATATATTTTTATTATTTTTACTTAAACATTTGTTCGCTCGAAAAACATTTTAATTGATCTTGGAACATCAAATGTTTCTTACTAAATATTAATATTCTATCTATTATTCCCTTTCATTCTTCCTAGAGAATTCTAATATACCCTTGTAGCTCATGGGTGCTGGGTACTCGGAGATGGCATCATTTTGTGGCTCATGTCAAAACTATTTGTATGCCCGAATCGTCGTGCCCAGCAAATTTAGTTCAAGTGTTTATGTAAGGCTCACTTAATTGACATTAGAGCGCAGTCTAAGTTACAGACATTCACAATAGAAAATCCAGAAGATGGTCAGCGGGGAAAACGTGCTCGTTTTCATTTAACGAAATTTATATCTTTGATTCAATTTAGGCGCACCACCCACGCAGCGAATAAACTAGTTCTTATACACGGACTGGTTAGACTGTAAAATTGCCACCGAATGGAGGCCTAATATTTGGGAACCACCCATAATGAGTAAACTATTTATGACCTCCCGAGTTCAACGTACTGCATGACCACAAAACTAATTCCCGATACCGATTATGATTTATTTTGAGCTTATATCAACTGATAGCAATTTAACTTTCAAGATAATCTATCTACTTTGGACTTTTCGCCCTCGAAATCTGAGATTGCGGGAGTTCTTTATATAATTAGTTCTTGTTTTTTCGGGGCCAAATAGTTTTATAAATAAGCTACTCAAATTGGTGTGTATTGGGCCTAACCGATTAGGTGGGCACTTATAAAATAGGTTTGTTTGTGATCAGTTAAGTAATAGCAGGCGATAGTTGCTTATCCAAAGAGCAATCATCCGACTTGGCGGTTCCTAAACTATTTTCCTTGTTTCCAGTACAACTAAATGAAACTGGCCCGAGAAATCGGCGCTGATTAAATGCCTTCACGGGATTCGTTCGTTCGGGATATTTCCTAAACTTGATTATGAGCTAAGTGCTCATAGTGGAGCGAATGACAGACCGTGTCACTTAAAAACCCATTGAGATCGAGACAGATCTTTGTCTGTCAGTGCACTAGGAAAAAACCCTAGCAATAGCAAATGCTTCTTGCAATCACAATATATTTTAAATTGGAATATAGTTAGTTTTTGAATTGGAATTCTACTTCTTTCAACAATACAGATTTAAACTTCAAAAACCACAATATAAATAACTACAGAAATGATAGTCTTGTGAGACATTTCTCCAAGTGCACTATCATCGGGAGACGGGCAGACAACAATAGTTAGTTAGCTATGATCTAATCTGGACAGACTCTCTCGACAGAAAATTGGACAATTGTATGCGTCTGGATCGGTAATTGAGACGCGCTTGACGTTTCGTTTTTATTTTCCCCACACGAAATGCACAAAAAGATCAAGAAAATAACTGCCTAATTGTTTTGGTTTTTGGTGTGGCCCGCGGCGCAATTTGTCTAGCCAAAAAATAATTATGAAACACGGTCGCCGGCTGAGTGTTAGTCTTCCAGTTTTTCGGTCTTTAAGTTTTTCGGTCCTTCGCTCTCCACCGAAACTGAACCAAGTCGAGACGAATCGAGTCGAATAGCCTCTGGCTGATTATCGGTTCTTGTTTATGTTTACGTTGTGATCGCATCGAATCGAATCGAATCTGTCTGGCTAGCTGGCTAACTGGCTAACTGGCTGACTTGCTTACTGGCTAGCTGGGCTGGCCAAGGAATGCCTGAATGCGGAGTCGTCTGGAGTCGGCTGTGGCATGAACTTGAAAACTCGTTGAGTCGTGCCGTCTGTCTGGCCACCGTCTAGACAGATTGTCAGTCTGTCAGACAGACGGTCTTTCCGTCCGCTTGTTGTTTGCTCGCTGCCTGTCTGCCGGCCTAGATGCTGCACCGAAAAAAATCACACGAAATCGGGGTCAATCTGATCTGTTTTATGTCGAAAGTGCTTGAGGACTACAGGGCTGACTATAATACAAAAATTACTCTTTTTCTGGCTCAGGGGATTCCCTGTTTTCATTTCAATTTGTTAGTAAATTATATGCTGAACAAGGAAATAAATAAAAATAGGTGTTTATAATGTTTTAGTGCAGTTTTAGGTTTTTATCACAAATTCTAAACGTTCTTTGTTCAAGAACAGAAACTTAAAATGAAGTAATTGAAAGAAATTAATATAACTACAATAAGAAAATTTGTTTCCGGAAGCTGGTTGTACAATATCATATAAAAGATTTAATTTTCGTTTTAGAAATATTTAGTTCTACCATAGAAAATAAATCAATAAATAAGTTAGTCTGTTTAATGATAAATGTAATTTTCTTATTGATATTTGCTGTGTATAAATACTTCAAGTACATTTAAATTCCATTGCAAATGGGTTTCTTCCCCATCTCAAGCTAATTTATAGTCTTTTGATTATGGTCTTTCGAACTGACATTGAAAGAAGCTGAGATAAGCCTAATGGGTATCAATATAGTCGTTTTTTTCGGTGTGTGGTTGATGCTACCGTAGATGCTTTGCCTGCTGTGGATACTATTTCTGTTCATGCGTGAGTCACGCATGCGCAGAGGCAGGGTTACATTCTGGGGGGCAGGTGCCTTGGGGCAGGAAGGAGGAAATTTTGCATTGGCCTCCATTTGCCTGGGGCAGACATCTCTGAATGCATCGCCTCAGTGTCTGCGTCTGCGGTTTTGCACTCTTGCAGTCCGTTGCCTGAAGCTTACAGCAACACCAGTAGCAACAGCAACAGTGGCAACAACGGCTAGACAGTGTCTCGCCGGCTGCACTTCATTATCATGCAACCAACAGCGAACTGCAGTCAGTCGAAATGCACACGCCTACAACTGTTTGCATTGCACCATTGCGCCAGTTGCTGGGGGCAGACAAGTCTGCTGTCCCGATATTACTCATACGTCATAAGTTTTGCCTTTTTTGTGCTTTGGCTTTTTTTTTGTTTTGTCGTCTGTGCGGAACTCTGCCAAAGCAATCAAATAAGATGAAACAATTTAGATATCAGCTGTTGGCCCCCACGAACGCCCGACTCGCATAGCAACGACCTACAAAAAGTTCATTACCGGAGAGCCGGAGACACAGACGGAGTCGGAGTCGTAGTCGGAGCCGGATAGCTAGACATGGCCCAGACTGCTCCCAGACATGTGCCAGACATCCGCGGGCACACCGACGGACACACAGAGATACAAAGATACAGAGGTCGCCGCCGCCGCCAACGGAATTCGATGCAGCCTGCAGTTTGTGCGAGTGCGAGTGCGGGTGTTAGTGTGTCCGCATTGTGCAGCGGCGTCGCGACAGTTGCACTACAGTATCTGATGGATACAACAGATACCATTGATGGATCTGGGCTGCCAGTGCCCTCGTCACTCTGATCTATTTGATTTTGTGCGGTCAGACTGTTGGTTAAAAGGCATTTAAAGCCTTGATTTGGGGTCATAAATTTGGCTAAAAGTCTCAATTTGAGATCTCATTTTTGAGGCACTCTGATCTATTTGGTTTGCTGCAGTAAAGACTTTTAAAGCCTTAATTTGAAGTCTGGTTATCTTACAATGTATTTAAAATTCCTTGTTGCATAGTTGGCTAGAAGAGTTTTTATAATAAACTATGTTTCAGATTCATTACTATAAAAGGATCGTTTTGTCAAAATGATCTTGACAAATTGTAGTCTTACGGTATTAAGTAAGTACCTATTAATTTTGAATTATATTTTTTAGTATTTAAGTCCTGGAGGGGTTTAAGGAAATGATTATAACTTAACTAAAGACTATGCTACCAAAAATTAATTAAAGGCTAAGCAAAGCATTTGAATTCATGAACCAATATAAGTGTTTGCCAATTTTTTTTTTGATTTTTAATTCACGCGATTCTAATCACTCTAGTTTTCCGATAATTGCAAACAAACGACGCAATTTGTGGGCACGCTTCTCGCGTATAGCTAAAATAATTTATTGATCATTATTTTCGGTCTGCTAAGCGAGGCCATTACATTTATGACTTTTTGTAAGAACGTCATGCATTTAGTGATGCGTTCAATCAATAAATAATTAATAATCGAGTGCACATGTGGAAAATCTCATGGGAAAGTATATATTTCATAACATATTTTTATTAATTCGCCGAATCGGAGTGCATGGGGGGGCAATCGTGTTGAACATAAACCAAATGAAGCAAAAATATGTACAATGTACTTTTAAAACAAGAGAGAACGCTATAGTCGGGTGCCCCGTCTATCAGATACCCGTTACTCAGGTAAAGGGAGTGCGAGGGAGATGGAGATAGAAACTTTAATCACGCATAACTTTTTAACGAATGGTCCGATTTGAAAAATTTCTTCTACATTTCAATAGGTATTGATAAACACAATAAAACTGCATTTTTACTTTTCCGAAATATTTAAATTTTTAAAATCGTATATAAGCGATTGTGGGCGTTAAAGGGGGCGTGGCACCTTTTTGAAACAAACTTGCGCTGCGTAGGAACTCCTAAATTCTACATGCAAAATGCCAATCTTCTAGCTTTTATAGTTTCCGAGATCTCAGCGTTCATACGGACAGACAGACGGACAGACAGACGGACAGACAGACGGACAGACAGACGGACAGACGGACAGACGGACAGACGGACATGGCTATATCGACTCGGCTAGTGACCCTGATCAAGAATATATATACTTTATAGGGTCGGAAACGCTTCCTTCTAGCTGTTACATACTTTTGCACGAATACAATATACCCTTTTACTCTACGAGTAACGGGTATAAATATACTCGGATAAGTACGGCGCTATAGATTTTTTTGGGCGCATGGCCACAACTGCGAGTTGCACAAATGTTTTTAGCCTTGAGTGAAATTGGCCCGTGTTTGGACAAATCTCTCACTTAACAGACGTCAAATATTTTGGAAAATTGGCAACACAAAAATTCTGTTTATACACAAAGTATTCCCGAAACTGATTGGGCGTTTTATTGCCAACTGCACTGTGTGAAATTTTTTGTATACAATATAACAACTTTTTATACTTTTTGGTGATTTTTTTGGGGTAAAGCGTTTTTTTTTTATATAGATTTCTATTTTGGGAAAGAGGTATCTATTCTGAGGCGCGGCGTGACAATGATTGACAGAGATTGTTTTAAAAATTTCGAGGTGCTTCAGCACTTACCTATGAGTGGCGACTTGTCGCAGAAGCACCTCGTTGGGGGACTGGGGGGAAGTGTCCCTCATATTCGGATTGCTGCGGTTCTGGATGCTCAGGATTTGCTCCTCAGTCAGGTTGAAGCGGTTGAAGATGGTGCGATTGAACGGGTTCACCACCTCCGACTGGACACCCTCTATAAAGAAGGAGGGATCGAAGGGGGCGGCCCTCGAGTCGCCGGCCATCAGGACCAACGACAGGACCAAAACTAGCTCTCGGATGCGGTTCCTTCCGCTCTTCTCACAACGCACAACACTTGCCATCTTTCTGTTCTTTGTTTATTGTTGGCTTTAACCAAACTAAATGTTTACACTGGGAATTAGTTGTCTTTTCTAATTAGCAACCACTAGATCGTTTTTGTATTGTTTTATTTATTTTGTGCACATTGTTTACTGCATCTTGGCCACCAATTAAAATGTTATCTTTGCCTCTTCAGCAGGCGAATTTGTATATTTTTATAGCTGATTTAATTTTTGTTTCTTGCCTTCAGCTTGTGTTCGATGTGTTCGCTCTAAGAACCAAGTATGAAGTGATTTGCGCCAGTCGGTTTTTTAGTCTTAAATAAGAAAAAATTTGGTTGTGCCGGGGCATATCTACTTTGTTATGGTCGTAAACGCTGCGTTGCTGCCGACACTGCAAGAAATTGTGAACGCCTAAAATTCTGTTTGATACTTGATTGTTCTTTTTTGTTTTTAATTATTTAATTTAATTAATTTTATTTCATTTTGTTTTCTTGTAAAAATTTTTATTATTTATTCCTGATTTTTAATGGTTTTTATTTTGATAAAAAATTAACTACTGCTTGTGTTATTTAAATAAATTAGTTTTGCAAAAAGAGTAATCTGTAAAATTAAACAGTTAAAATTTATAAGATAATCTTATTAGTTCGTGTATTATAAAAAGAAGATATCTTGTTATCCTACCATTAATTATGTAATAGTTTAAATAAAACGTTTCTAGCAACCAATACAGTAGAAACCAAAATTATTATAAATTGTTTAGGGATTGCACTGTACAAGGCTCTACTTAATTGTACATACATATACTCTCAAAATGGAAAATATGCTGATTAATTAGTTTTTTGGTCTGCTTTTTTTTCTGTCCACTCCAAGAAGAGATAATTTCATCGACTATGCATTTATTATGATATCATAATATATAATGGTATAGAAAACAATTCGGCAGTTATTTCCAGGTAGAACCGCTTGGCAGTCGACCCCAGTTTGCAGTGTACTGCTCGGGCACTTCGGCTGGCGGTTCGGATGGGCGCTCGGCTCCGTCGTGGCCGACCAATCAACGCCGCTTGAGGATCTGCCGGCGCAGCTGACGTCGACATGGGCATAGTGGCGATGCGTGGATACGGAATACGCCTGCATATGTTTGGGGGTATCTGTATCTGGGCTTGTATCTGTATCTGTATCTCTGTCTGTATCTGTATCTGTGTGTGTGCCTGCGTGCTCGAGATGGGGCTTATTTTTGGGCCCAAAAGTGATACTTGTGGTCCTAACCTAGGTTTGTTTGGTGACTTCCTTAAGTGAATGCCTTCAGATACAACTATCCGATAGAAACGTGTCTCTATCTGAGCACTTCAAACACCACTCGAACCGGGCAAACCAACCAACAAATAGCCCAAATCACTGTCAATCTTTTGAATGATTTTGCACCCATCGAGTCCAGGCAAATGTCCGTAAATACTCGTAGTAGCACTTGTAATTCCTACTCCTATTTGGTGCGTGGGCGATTAGATTTATGTGAAGTGATTTTCTACGGGCAACCACACAATTAGTGTGACTTAATCAAATTGTTTTGATTACGCAGCTATTTCTATTATCAGTTTGACTTTTTGGGGCACAAAATTCAGATGTCTTTGCGCGTGACTTTCAGTAGGGATTGAATTTGTGCGTGAGGATTAATCAAGTGACAAAAAGATAGGCCTGAAAGTGCGTAGTCCATCAATTGAACGGTGAATTGGGCGGATATATCCTATTAGAGGTGCGTGCGGTGCCTGGTACGGCATTAACCCCAGAAAGCCCATCCTTTGGCCCATTGCTCTTTCTACGCATGAGGAATACGAAACAGTTCTGGTTCAGCTATCCCGTATTATTCATTCCATTCGCATACGGAAATCCAAAAAGCCCAGACTTCAAGGACGTTCTTGATTTATTTATTTATTTGCAGCATCTAAGCATCTTTCCCAGCATCTCGTCTGGACCAAAATTGAATTTCAAAATGATTGTATAATTCGCAGCACTTTATAAAGTCTGGATTCGGCTGCGTCCCGCTGTCCATTCATGTGATATGTCTACACACCGTTTAACTTCTGAATAGAGTGTCGGCCAGAGGGGGGCGGTTGTCCAGACGTCGGGTGTTATGTAAAATTGCAATCGCATCAAATGCCCAGATTCATAATCTCGACGGCTGGATGAGGAGGGAAAAAAATGAAAACAAGATATATGTAGAACGCAATCAGCGCCTCTTGTGGCGAACTTTATATAATAATGTTTGTTTATTTGAGCGCTCGCATAGAATTTGTCCCACTTTGTGGACAATGTGGATGTCAGCAACAACACAAAAACACAAAAACAGAAAAGAGCCAGACATGTAGATATGTCTATACCCAAACAATTGGAATGCCAAATGAGTCAAGTCAAGTCAGGTCTCAGTTTTTGATTTTTCATTAACTTTTCAAGGCTGCCCGATCGCGTGGACGTATAATTGGCCAAAATTTAAATACAAAATCTAAATACTTCTGGTTTTCTTTTGATCTTGTGAGACATATTTCTCTGTTCGGCATTTCTCCGTGGTTATTTTTGAAAGCAATTCTCTGACAAATCCGTACTATGCCTCACGCTCGTGCCAATTTGTGCGGCTTAATTTTAAACGGTAGCCGGCAATTGCCGCCAATGAGCAACAATTCCGGTGGAGGCACGTGGGGGGCTCTAAAGACCAGTAGCACCACCGGCACCACTATCACCACATAGCACCACCTGGTTGGAAAACATCTGGCAACTACTAGTCGATGGCTATTGACTTTAAAGTGATTTCTGGACGGTTACAAGTGCCAAACTCTGTTCTATATTTAGTCGATCGCATCAGGCGAAAGTAATTGCGGACAATAAACTGATATGGTTAAGTTTTTAATGCCTATTATCAGGGTAACGTGTTTGAATTTGGTGACACCGAGCGTACTTATTGATTAAGGGAGTCCGCCCATTAACTACCCTGTTATTATTTAATAAATATGGTAAGTAAATTAATAAACAAAACAGATGTACTTTACTGAATGAAGGAAACTTGTTAGATGGAGTAAGGATACCTTTGGATATTTATAAGGACCACATATAACACATATATTTTGTAGTCTGTAGAATTAAGGTTTAATAAACGCTCTTAAACTGGATTTTAGTTATTGTTTTTCTTACGTCGTTAAATATGAAATATTTGGCTGTTTGCTTAATTACCAGCACGAATGTTTTGAAATGATTGAATAATAAATTTAATGTATAGATTTAAAAATTCGAAGTATTTTAAGTCTCAGTAATAAAAATTTAAATCAGTTATTTTTTCCATTAGCTTATGTAAATAATAGTGAGCTTTTGGTAAGTACTCTAAAGCAGAGTATTTCTTTTATCGAAATCCCATTAAAAGTACATTTCTTTATGGCTAGTTTTTAATCTGACATTGGGTTTAACTGGTTAGATTTGAATGACGACTCAACATACTTAAAAATTATAATTCCATAGATTAAATTTATTAATAAATCATTTAAATGCATACGTGCTTGTGATTGCCCAAACTAATAGACATATATTTGACACTGTTCATGAAGTGCCAACTATTGGCTTATCGGATTGTTATGACTTTTTGTGGATTTATAGTTTGCGGTGGGAAATTCTTATCTTGCATCAGTTTTGCTGGTTGTAAGGCGCTAACATAAACTTTATTGAGCAGTCATAGCTCAACTAATGAAACTATAAATACTTTTTGGAGAGTGCGGGATTTGACCTTCAAAGTTTCTGAGACAAAGGGTAGGGGATTTCCTGGAAGCAAAAATAACTAAAATTTGGGCATTATAATACAATGTTTGATCAGCCTGCTCACATGCATGTCCAGCTACATTAAATATGCAAGTACCGAGGCGAAATTATTTAACCATCAACACGTTATTAACATAATTATCCCTCACTACAAACTTGATGAGCGTTGCAAGAGGGATCGGAATCCCAAGTCACCTCTCTTACACAATCAACAGAAACGAAGATAGCACTGGCAAAATAAAATACAAGGTTTAGGTTGTAAGCATTTAACAAAAGTAGCAATTTGTTTAAATAATTGTAATTCTTAATTTTTTTATTCTCAACTTATTTTTGAGTTAAGTTAAGATTCTTAAAAAACATAGTAAACAGAAAAAACTAAAGGCATTTGATCTTTAATGAAAAATAAAAGAAAAACCCATACTATGTTCATTTGATCTTAATCAAAAAATCAGACTCTTTCAAGTAATGAGATCAAAATCAGTTAATTTTCTCTTATGAATTTTCCAGTATGAATTGTTATGTATTTTATTGGTCATATATATATATCCTTTCTGTTGGTTCGGTTACTAAAATTAATTATACTCTAAATGGTAAATTTTAACAAATAAAAGTATATAAAAAAAGTATATTTTATCGATCATTTTTTTTCAGTTTAAGAAGAGGCAAATGAAAAGAACATTTAGTGGCTTGGGGGGTAGACAGCCTGCGGTAAGGTCCGGTGGGTTGGTGCAAGTCTATTAAAAATACACGACGTTCGTCAGCCAGCGAACCAGACGTGTCAAGTCAGCACCGGCTCAGACCAGGCCCAGACCAGGCCCAGACCAGGCTCAGACCAGGCCAAGAAGTGAGTCCAGACCCCGTCGAAGGCCCAGACATGTGTACAACATGGGTGCTGGTTAGTTATTCGGTTGCTGGACGAGCAGGCACCGAGGGTGTTACCATCTCTGGCTCACTGACTCCGACTCTGACTCCCGATCTTGGCCACTGGCTTTCGGCCATGAAGAGTGGGGAGTGAAGAGTGCCGAGTACCGAGTACCGAATGCAGTTGTCGTGATTGTTGTCTCAGATTGCATGTGGAATGCAAAGACCAGAAGCCAATTTGTTATTGTGTTGTTTTATGCCCTGCAGGCCGGTGCTACCGTTTATTTGCAGCCGCTTCTTGCGCTTCTGTTTCGGGTATACCCTGCCTTTTGGCAACATCACTCATACGCTCAATGGTCACTCATATACATATAATTTAAAATAGTTTAGAAAAGTATATATAATTATGGGGTACAAATTTGCGAGCCACCGTTTCATTAATACTGCAGAATTGTAAATTAACTTTACTTATAATCTCATTTACTCTTAAGTAAATAGGTTTTTAATATTTGGTTATTAATAAATGTAAAATGTTTCGGTTCTCTGTAATCAATAATTAACCTTATACTGATATTCAGGAAAAAATAAAAATTGTTTTAATAATTCTTGAATGGGTCTCTACATCTCTTAAAGAATTTACCCTAAGATAGACTAATCAACTTTTACAATTAAACTAAAGATCAGATTGAAGTGTAATACTTTATACTTTCATAAAGTATAAATAGGGTATTCCGTATTCGCTATGGGATTTTTACCTCCAGGCCTGATTGTTATTAATTTTTGCGCATTTTCATTTTCGGTTTTTAGGACTTTCGCGTGCCGTCGTTTGGCTTCTGTTGGTGTTTTGTTTTGGGCCAGCCCCTTCCAGCCAGATCCAGATCTCAGCAGACGAAGATGCAGACCGAAACCGAGACCGAGAGCCAGACAGCCCGTCGCATAGTCTGCGGTGTGAGGTGCTACATGGGAAAAAATATTTAAGTTCCATTGATGATTTTTCTAGACACTTGTTTTTCTTCAAATAATTTATATATTTTACTATACTTTATAAATTAAGGCTTAATGAGATAATTCTAAGATTCTAATCGCTAGATGTAATTATCAAGTAGGTAAATATTCTTATTTGGCAAATTGCTTAATTCGGAATATATATGTCATCAGTTTCAAAAGAGATATTCTATATTTACTATCAATATTTGTTAAAAATAAACACTATATTTATTAGGGAGTTTAAAACTATCCATTTTAGCTAACAATTTAAAAGCATTATATTAATTAATTTTCGTTGCTTGTTAAACACAAGTAATTATATAAACAAGAATTTAAAAGAGAGGGCAGCATTCGTTAAAATGTTGCTTAAATTTGATGAGCCTTTTTGGAGCTGTTTACATAAAAGTTAAAAATATTTAAAAATCAATATATACATTTTCCTTTCGCTGTTTTTGCTCTGTAGGGTGCTGCTCTTGATGCAGGGGCATTTAAGCAGGCGTATGTGTAGCCGCGTCTTGTTGATTGTCAAAATTGACAATGAATGCGTTCGCCGGAGGACGGAGGATGGTCGGTGGAGGATGGAGGATGAAGAATGGAGAATGGAGGATGGAGAATGGAGGGGCAGCCGGCGATGGAGTTGGAGGCTGACCCAGCCAGCCGGAGACAAGTGCATGTCTCGCGTCTGCAGTTTGTCTGGAGGCCGTGGCAGACACTCGGTGTTGCCGCTGTCAATATTGTCCCCAAGTGATGCAGATGCGCCGCCGTTGTTGCATCCAAATATGGACCATGGGCTCTGCAGTTCTGCAGCTGAGGAGCAGGTGAACCGGCGGATAGTGGCTGCAGTTTCACACTTGTGCTGAGCGACAGAAAGTTATTTAAATGATATGCACATGCAGTGCTGCTCCTCCGCCGCGTCGCGTTGTCTGGCTGCTGTAAACTGAGACTTCGACTGATTCCCTGTCGTCTGCGATTTTGCCTGGGCCTTTGGACTTGCCTTTGCTTCTGCCACTGCCTCTGCCAGCAATTATGAGCGTCTGGCCGTCTGGCATTTTACAATATTTTTAATTATCGCGCTTTTTTTCTAAGCAGAGATAAGCATCTGCGCGGTTGGCGTTGCTGCTCTTCTGCCACTTTTCGAATTTCAATTTGAGGCCCCGAAGGCAGGCCGAATTGTCGCCGCTGTTAATTGCCTCTGCTGGTCAGCAGCATCAGCCATCTTGATGACTAAGCGAGGAGCTCGTCTTGGAGCCTGGAGCATGGAACCTGGAGCATGGAGCATGGAGCCTCTTGGGCTCCCGGCTGTCTGCTGTCTGCTTTCTGCCCGTCTGACCATCGCTGGCCGTAAATTAATGCAGATTCGAGCAGGTCCATGGCCATGTCCTGGCCCATCTACCGTGCCCAAAGTCAGAATCAGAACCAGCAATCTTGTGGCCATGGCCAGGTAGTAAAAGTGAAAAATAACTCCCAGCCAATGGCTGTCAGTCGTCATTTGCTCTATTGATTGGGCACCTGTCGTCGGGCTTAGAGCAGTAGCCCATTCAGACACAGACAAAGCCATTGGCTTCTCCTTCAACAGTGATGCCAAAGACATCATTGTCAATCGCACTAAACCTTTGTTGGGTTGGCTAACAATCCTTATAACAATAAAAAATACTACAGTTGGAACAAAGATTATAGCGAAATATAAATTGTTAAAAAAATGTTACAATACTTAACCTTTTTGTTATGCATACCTAAAAATCGATTAAATATTTATAAATATAGGTCCTTATAAGTTAAATTTATTCATAGTTTTTATACTCCATACTACAAAATATTGTAGAAAAGTACACTGTACCACCGAAACTGTTAGCAATTACCTACCAAAGGTAACTTATAAAAAAAAATCATATATTAAAAATACGATCCAAGGAAAAGTTAAAAGTAACTTTTATTTTTTTTTAACTACATTAAAAATATTATTCATTAGTACAAGAAGATATTAACCATTAGTGAAAAAAAAACAGATTCTAAACGTTCAGTTTCGGTGAAAATTGTTTCAAGAATCTTAAAGCACTTCAACACTATAGAAGAAGTATCTGACTTATTTGATAATCATTATTGATGAATCAAAAACTAGCCAAGCCGTCAGCACTGTTCTTGACTGATGCGTTCTTCAATGCTAAAGCACTGCGAAGGTAATCAAATAAATGAAGATGCTACCCGACCATAAATGGCGCAAATACCACTCATACTCCTGCATTCCCCACTGGCTACGTGCAGCTCCTTCCCGATGCCAATATCTATATCTATATGTGTATGTATATGAACAATGTGTATAGCTATATCGGTTTTGGGCTGCAGCGTATTTATAGGACAGGTACGACGCGTGCCGGCACGCCAGGATGCCTTGGCTCGGGACCACGTGGTCCGTCCACAATGGGAGCCCATTGTGGAATAGGAGACATAAATGAATGAAATGGCGTTTATGGTAATTCGCCCCGACCAAGTTTGTGCCTTCGAACTGAAGGCAAACTATGCTAATGGCACCGTGGATGTCTTGTGCTCCAAAAGCGGATTTCCAGCCTGGCTGTTGGCAGGACTATGACGAAAATGAGGAAGCATTCCGCTCTATTTAAGGTGGCCACACTTTAGCCGTTTCGAGGAACTCCGGCGAGCTGACTTTTACATATTTTTAATAGTGCTAAAAAGTCTTTGGAAACTATTTATAAAATGTATTACAATTTACGACAGTCGCGTACTTTTTTGGAACTATTTTGGTTTTGGTACTCCATTGTGCCAAGACGATAAAACTTTTTACCATCGTCTTGGTTTGCCACAATCAGAGTTTAGTTCTTATTAAGTCGTTGGCAGGCGAAAAAGTTGGAATTAGACTTGAATAACATAGATTTGACCAAATAAAATAGGCCTTGAACAAAGTATAGTTTATTGGAAAACAGAAAAATACAAAATAAATTTAAAGTATCTTCTAATTAACTGTAATAAAATAAAAACATATAAACCAAAAAACGGAAAATTTAAATAAAATTTAAAATCGATCACAATTAAAGTTAAGATTATAATTTGTTGTCGCATTATTTTTACTTGTATATTTATTTTTTAACAATGTTTTTATTTTAATTTATATTTTAATAAATCCAAACTCAATGTTTACAAAAAGCAGTGTCTATTTTACACAGATTCGCAGTTAGCTGAAAAGTATGCAGTGATTTGATTTTGTTTATATTTCCCACCTAATCTGGGTTGGCTAAGTTGTCACAAATTTACAATACCAAATTTAATAATTTAGTTTACATTATTCCTACACGAAACAATCAAGATGTGCGACGTGATCCTTCCCTGCGAATATAATCCGAAGGAATGCCCGAGTACCTCGCCCGAGAAAAGCCGTCTGTTCACAATCCTGCTCCTCTATTGCTGGCAGAATGAGTACGACAAGCGACCCTACCAGCAGTTCCAGTTCAAGAAACTGGAATTCGAGGATCGGATCGGTCGGAAGTACCACTGCATCCGTGACTTCCGGGTCATCGTCAACTATCTCCTGCAGCGCCATCAGCTGGCCGTGAAAATTACGGGCTTGGTTGTTAGCAACTGGGATGCGCGTCTGCTGAAGGACTTTGCCCGCTCCCTGATCCCCGTGTGGTACATCGAACTGACTCTGATGCGCTTTCCCCATGAGTTCTTCGTGATGATGCGCCTTAATGCGCTTAAGATGGATGTCAGCCAGCTGAGCCTGGAAGGTAATCTCAATTTTACTAATTAATCAAATGCATTTGGAACCATGTATAAGTTTGGTAAAGTTGTGGGTCACCTTTTTAGAAGTCATAGGAATCTTAGAAATAACTAAAATGAGAATGGGTCAACAAATTAATCATCGTTAAATGACAAATTTTTTGGCATATTATTAAAAATTATAAGGCAAAGGATCCCAAAAGCTTTTTATATCTTCATATTTTAAGACATTTTGGATTATGCATTTTGGATTGTCCATGTGGATTATCAAAGTTGGAGCAAAGGGTGCCCACTTTCCTTAAATTATTCCTTAAATGTATATTTTGGTTTATTACATTTGAATTTTAGTTAATTTTGGTGTTAAGGTGTTTTCTGTTCGAATGCATTATGTAACTAAAAAATATTCCTGTAATAGCTCATGATGGGGACTATCCTTATAAGAAATCTGCTCTAAATTCCTGTTGATCCCCAGGCACCCCCCTCACCGACGACGATGTGCGGATCCTGCGGGAGTTCCTGCTGGTCAACACCACGTTGCGGCTGCTCAACGTATCCAGTTGCAACCTGACCCAGTACAACTTTGCTCTGATCGCGGACGGGGTGCACAAGTCGGCGGGAGTGAGGCGTCTGTATGCCGACCGACTGCTGGGATTGAGTCTCAGCCTGGACACAGAGAAGTTGGCCTCTGTGTTGGGCTCGCTGCTGATGCAGAACAGACTCTGGAGCCTGTCGCTGGAACACTGCGAACTGACAGCCCAGGACATGCTGCCCATTGCCGAATACCTTTCCCTGACCACATCCAATTTCCGGCGCCTGCGACTTGCCTGCAATAAAATCGGACCGGATGGAGCTTTGTTCCTGCTGCGCGGAATCTCCATTGGAAAGCGGTTGGAGCTGCTGGACATTAGCTACAACTCGATTGGCACACATGGTGGCGAATGGGTGGCCATGTACCTCTCCTCGTGCCTGAAGCTGCAGCACCTCCACTTGAACTACAACGACATTCAGCCGGAGGCAATGAACCTTATCCTGGTGACCCTGAAGAAATGTTGCTGGCTGGAGCGCCTGGAATTGTACGGCAACCACTTCGATTCGCGGTCCGCGATGATTTTGCGCCGCCTGCTGGACGCCGAGGTGCTGCGGCACGCCGAGGTGGACATCAGTTACACCTACGACGAGGCCCTGCAGGATTACAGGGTGGTGCCCTGGAGGTAGAAAATGGCTTAGAGTTGGTTGCTTCTGTTTTGCGAATGCCTAATAAACTGAAAATCTGCTTTTCGGTCAAAACGAATTTCAGTCTAAAGTTTGCAACGCAGTGAAGGAGACATTTCCGACACTATAAAGAATATTCTTGATCAGCTTCACCAGGAGAGTCTATCTAACCATGTCCGTCTGTCCGTCCGTCCGTTTTTACGCAAACTAGTCCCTCAGTTTTAAAGCTATCTGCTTGAAACTTTCCCAAAAATTGTCTTTTGCAGGTAGTATATAAGTCGGAACGAGCCGGATCGGGCGACTATATCCTATATCCGCCATATAACTGATTGATCGAAAATGGCAATCAATCCGACCTACCAAATTTCATAAGGATCGGCCGACTATATCCTATAACTGCCATATCGTTCAGTTGATTGGAAATTTCATAACTTTGGTGCAACAGCAGCACGGTTCGTGTCTCTGATAATATTTGTTGTGCAACAGAGACTCAACAGAATCACGTCATGTTAACTCAACGTAACGAAACGAACGTAACGTAACGTAAGAACCGAATAGAATGAATATAATTTCCGGCTTCTGTTTTGTTATTGTGAGAGCGCTTTGTGTGAAGGTGTGGGTGTGCTTGCGAGAGTGTGTGTGGTGCGATTTCAAAGTCAGACAGCAACAACAACACAAGGGGAGCATAGCATAATGAGCGAAAGAGAACACGACAGCGACGCGCGGAGAGAGAGCAGAGCGGGAGCAGAACTTCGGGCAGCGACGCCACGGCGAAAGGACAACGCTAACGGAATCCTTGTTGAGAGTTTCGCAATATATTTTTATTGCAGCAGTCTCATCGAAAGCGTCGAAGCAACCAAATCGCATCGAACACCCGATAAATCGGTTAGACAATGCAAAACTCCATCAAAAAGCACACACATCCCCAAAGAAATACATAATAAAATATAACAGCAAATACTTAAAAAACAAACACAAAATCAGATAAGCAGAAAAATGCCTAGCTTTTTGGTTTGTTTATTGTTCGGTGACAGTGCTAAGATATGTGCTCCAGTTCTTGTATAACTCTTCACAATTAACAAGAAAACTAAAACTGTGCTGAGCCTGCGGCCAAATTGTGTTCTCCCCCATTTGTTTTATCTTATTTCAGTTGTAAATTTGTTTATTTGCTTGCAGGCGGCTGCTCGTGTATATCCAGCTACTTCATAAAGGCCAGCCAACTACCCACCTAAACTAAACCGAAAACCAAAACTGAAACTGAAACTAAAACTAAACCTAAACTCAACTAAGTAAACGAACTAATATTAAATAGAAGCCAGAGGCTGTTACAACTTTTACTATTAGCAAAGTTAGACCAAAACTAGAGAAAAGAAATCCAGACCAAGCAAAATGAACGACAGTCGACGCAACACGGCCACGGAATTCAGCTACATACTGCAGCGCCAGGTGAGTCGTCCTGTAATTACATGCACTTACTTTGAGACGCGCCTGTTTTTCGAGTCCTCACCCCTCCACCCCCCCCCGAAAAATCACCGAAAGCACCCACAACTCGAGCACTTTCCTTGCAGCACTCTAATTGCACACATCTCAGCCGCAGGAACTCCGACTAATTGCACCCACACGAACTGACTGATTGGCCAACTGCCCGCAGAGTGCATAATGGCCGGGGATATGGCAAAAGTCGGGGTTCTCAGCACTGACTGCTGCCTCACAGATTTGTCGCCTCATTTTGAAGTATCCAACTATTCACCATCTCCTAGCAAAATGTAAATTGATATAGGGCATATCTGTAATACTTGAATTTCATAAGAAACCTGAGATCATAATTTTCTTAACTTCGTATTTGATATCAAAACATTGTTTTTCGTTCATGAATCACTAAAGATCTTGATATTATCTTTATAATTACTTTAATATGTCACTGTATATAAACAATAGTTTTGTTTTGCTTGTAAGAATTCCGTTTCCAAGTTGAATTTATTTAAATAAAAACAAAGTTGTATAAATTCATAGTAACAACATCTTTTATTGTTGTATTTGCCTGTTTCTCAATTAATTTGAAGGAGTTACTTTTACAGCAAAGTAACATTTTTGAAATATTTAATATTTATAGAATTTCTTATAGATGTTTTAAAAAAATCAAGTGGGTTTGTCAAATTTTACGCATTTCATGTGCTATATTTTTTCTTTTCTCTGCGCGTGACATTTGATATGGTGCGTTTGTGCATTTTCATAAAAGAGAAATTTAAAATTAAAATTTGTATAATCCTAGAAAATGTTCCCCATTTTTCACTTTTTCTACGTTCATATAAAGAGAACATGAAAGGTTTTTTTCTTTTGACTTTATGCAAATATTTTCACAAGCTTTAATGTTTTGCGACTGCATTTTTCGACATTTTCTGCAAAGTGGAATCTTTTTCGGGCTTAGTAAACATTTCGGGTGAAGCAAATGGAATTTTCTAAGCAGAAAGCCACAATAGATTTAACGACACATTTTCATGAACACATTTCTGGCTTGCCCAATGAATTGTTAATAAACAAAATGCCCCGTCAATCAATCATGGCTTAATAAATGCCCCAGCCCCGCCGGCATTTGCATATGAATCTGGCCAAGGGGATTTGGCTGGGGATTTTGGGAGATGCCGACGGGTTATGCCCGATAATCCCTTAAGCTCGTTATGAATTCCATTTCGCTCAACTGCTGGAATTGGCTTGCGTGTCCTGTCTGCACATACGCAGACACACACAAACACACACACTTGAAATCGTGGCCCACAACTCGCAACTCGTACTGTGAAAAAGACTGTTAAATCAATTTGTTTTCAGCACCCCCCACATGGCACAGAAACGGAACCCAATCCCAAACCCACGGAGACTGAGACAATGACACATTAGAACCATCGAATCGTGTCCTGATTGAGTGATTATCCAAAACACAATTCGCAACATGCTATGATTGATGACAAGCAATTGAATCGCTTGGGGGACCCAAGGATTTTATTGCTATTCATTGTCTCGACGATGACCTTTGGCGGGCGTGAAAATTTGTCGGAGATCCTTCAAGACTTAATTAATCTCTCCCTGGGGGGCGGCCGCCAAATAAGACTTGAGATAACAAAATCAATAAGCGGCGGGCTTGACCTTTAATTACACAACACCCCCACTTAAGGCGGCGAAGGATTTATGAGTTCTGCTCCAGTTCTATAACCAGTGTATATCCACGACCGCAGCCATCTCCACATCCACTTAATCGTCGCTTAGTATGCATGGCATGTGGCGGCATCGCCGCGCATTTGTTTTCTGGCCTTGGACCTGATGCTGCTGCCGTTCCCCCTCCTCCCTGGGATCCTTGGGCTCCTCCTCCTCCTCCTCCTCCTTTTACCCCCCAAGTTGCAGCTGTGCCAGCTGAGGCATCAAATAAGAATGTCGGCAGCAGCACCCCCCTGTGAGATAACAGAAATCAATGTCAGCTGCAGCTGCCAGTGCACTTGGCCCTGGGGAGACATAGTTTACGGACACTTCGTGCCGACAATTAAGTCCGCATTGGTATTTCAAATTGGCCCGCAGGCCTCCTCTCAAACGCTTAACTCAATCCCACTTCCGATTGACCTAATTAAATCAAACATTGTTCGGGCAGGAATGGGAAATCGTAGAGCGGAAAACCCAATTTAAATAAATTTCAAAACCACTGGCTGTTGATAGAGCTCAACAGTGTCTTGTAGCTGAAGTGTTTGAGTGCTTGGCCAGCAGCCTAAGCCAACATGGCGTATGGGTAACGCGCCTGTGCCCACATCACGCATACGCCACCGCTCGAGTTATGCAATAACTGTTGCATACCCGCAGTCGGTGGCTCGCAGGCAATCAAGGTGAATCGCCAAATCCCTTTCGAGACCCGACTAAGTCCATCTCCGGGGCCTCGAGTGTGTGGGTGTCTTAAATGGTTTCGATTTCGGCGCCTTACGGATTCCCACGCCACCCGAACTCCCCGCACCCCCCTCCCCGTCGTTGTGGCAGCTGAACAATAAAACCCGGCACTGTTCGCCTGTTCGTATCTCGGAAATTGACGGCCAAAAACGATAAAAAAAAAGAGGAAAAAGAAACACAGCCATCCACTAAAATCGCACTCGCATTTCCCCCCAGCGATATATAAAAACACGTGTTCCATAAAGATATGCGCGCACTCCTATATATACCATATATATAGATTTACCATAATACATGAATTCGGCATGCGAATAAATTGGAATTTTTTTGCGGTATGATTCGTATATGCATGTGTATTTGATTTAATGTGTATTTTACGTTTTTGTTTTAAGCGAATCATTCAGCGCGCACTCGATTGTTGTGAAGTGAACTCGATTTAATGGTTAACAATTTGATTTTCATGCCTTTCATCAGGGCAGCGATGTGTCGGTTGCCGAGGCTTATGCATTCGATGACTTCAACAATGTAATGAAGGTAAACTTTGACCCACATTCCCCAACACGACACTGCACTTGCATTGCGAATCGTAGTCCTTACATTCACATTCTAGTCCCCTTTCACATTCATAAAATTCCGAGTAACGCCTACACTCGGTCGGGGAGAAAGAGACAGTGGGATGGGAGCGATAGAGACGGCGAGATGGGAGGGATAGAGACGGGGAGAGTGAGACATATCTGGCATTCTGGCCGCGACCTTCTCCCCGGGTTCTTTGGGGCTGTACAAATTGCTTTTGGTCTCTGGACATCAAAAGAATTTTCTTATTAAGAAATACTTCCTTGCCTATGTTACTTCGCGAGCGCCTTATTAAATATTGCATTGGGCAAAGTCATGTACGAGTTGATAATGAAGACAAATTACAATTGAAATGTTGTACTTTTATTGCATACTTTCAGACAGAATTGAGCGAAAAAATAAAAAATTTAATGAGAAATTACAACTGCGTTGGTTGCGTGGAAAAAAATGATATAGTTTGCTGATATTATAGAGCATTAAAAAATAGAAAGGACAATTTTAGTTTATCTTCTTTTCATGTTTCAATAATTTTGAATATTAAAACCTCCCTGCTCTTTTTTGATAAAGTTTAAAGTTCGGTAACTTACATCGTTAAAAGATATCAAAAAAAAAAGGGTAAGATATTAAATTGATATAAGAAGTTTTATGAATAATTTTAAATTGACAAGACACAAAAATGTTGGAAAGATGCTTTCAAAATATTTGTCCTTATAAAAAATACTTATTTAAGTTTGATTAATTAGTTTTCTAGTTCTTTTCAAAACAATTTATTTCTAAAAATTTATATTTATTAATATAATAAATTAAATATGATGGATAAGTCCAATACAAGTAGCGACTTTAGAAAAAAGGGACTTAGCAATCGTATTTATTTAATCTTGGCCATTTTTAGAAGCAGAATTTTAATGATACATCCGTGAAACCTTAAAAATCAAACAGATAATATAATCGCTTTAAGCCTAAAGTCATGTTTGAGAGCCCATTTCGCCTGATGCGGAGTAAAGTCATCCATCTAGCTTACCGCTTATTAAAGGCTTCCAAAAAAAGTGTACTAAGACCATTGCAAGCTGACTTGGCTTTAAGCCGAATCTAATCCCGGCAACTAATACCAGAGAATGTCTGTGGGAAAAAGCAGGAAAGGATTTCCCATACATATACTCGAATATGGTCGGTTTTTTCCTTCAGGGGGAGGGGAAGGGGAAGGAAATGAAGGCGGCCCAGAACTTGAAGGGAACATTGTGTAATATTTGATGCATTACCATGCATAAGTAAGGAATGCCAGTGAGTGAGTGTGTGTGCTGTCGGCCTTTGTTGTTTTCTTAGGCCTCGCAACGAAACTTTTCTTGTTGGCAAAGCCATTAGGCAGCCAAGGCTGGCCAAAAAATTCCAGCATTAACGAGTGGGAGAGGGTGCGAATAAAAGAAAAAGCCAAAAAGCCCTGATTGTTTGCACAACTAATGGTCGCGCCGGCTCAAAGGCAAATTGCCAATAGTTGAGACACTCTTTTGGCTGTTTCTCAATTAGGCCAGTTCCACCAGAGTTCCAAAGTGGCACAACTCTTGGCCAGCGGAAAAGACTACTCATTAATTGCAATGAAAGGGAACTGCAAAATTAAATTAAACACAAAAACTGCAGAGCACAATGTGGACACACAAATGCACTTAACAAAACATGGCCAAAAATGTCTAGAAAAAGTGATACATTTCTAAACCCCTTTCTTTATTTCACTTCATTCGTTAACATAGAATATTTTATTAGCAAAGAACAATATTTTGATGTGATTACTTATGGCTTGTATAAAACCTTTCTTTTTATTTAAACTAAAAACTAATTTAATTTAAGAAACTTAAAATTTGTCTTTTTGAAAGCGAAATAACATTTTTAATTAATAGTAGTTCAGAAGTCATAAAGTTTACTCAGCAGAAAATGGAAGCACAAGAAAAGTTGAAAATTTCATTTTAGTGCAAAATTGGCTTAATATAATTAAATACGCAAATTTAACGCCACTCTCTGGAAATTTTTCATTTTATAAAAATGTTTAAGAATAATTAAAAAGTTTTAAAAATTTCTTTGAAACTTGGGAAATGTGAATTGAGCTGCGTATAATTGAATTAAGACTCAACTTTCCGGTTCATTGGAATACCAAGGAAACCCAACTTTCTGACCATTTTCGTATTATTCTTGCTGTGCAGTCGGCGAAAGGTCAACCGCTTTCCCACACCCCCCCAAAACAACCCCCCTTTGGTGCCCATCCCTGAGTGAAAAACCTGACCCGAGGACCATTTGGCTGCCTTGCATGTTTGTGTTTACTTTTGCACCGTACTATATGTGCGGAGATCGGGGGATCGGGGGATTGGGGAGCATATGGCAGTAGGCTCTGTTTGTCTATTGGCAGGGCAACGGCTGAAACTGAAATGACAACAATGCCGACACGGCCATGTCAATAGTTCAGCGGGACACGAAAATGCAATGCGAAAAACGCTGCAATTTCTGCGGCAAACTGGTGGGTTTTTTCCTAGCATTGTGCCATTTTGCCTTGCGCATAATTTTAGCTCCCCAGTTAATTGTTTGGACTGCCCCAGAGGAGCACCCATGTACTATACATATGCACCACCGGTCCTCTCAATCTGCCATGTGAATGTGTGTTTGGTGTTGACCAAATCGCTTTCATTAGAGTGCAAATTGTTGCCCCCATTGTGCTGCTTTCGTCCTCTAATTTCATTAGGCCAGCTAAATATGTGTCCCACAGTTTTGGTCAAACAACTTGTTTGTTCCCTTTTACAGGATTAAGTCTGGGGTATGTCTGCCACTGGCAATATTTGCCAGGTATTGGAATTTTTATTTAATCGGTAAATACTGATATTGACAAAATAATTTGCATTGCAAAACATTTGTGAATTCAGGGATTACAATTTTTGTTTTATATTTGTGATAAGTGACCTGGATTCATGGAACTACATTTGATTGGTTATAGTTATAACATAAAGAATATTAGGTATATTCACACAGAACAGAGATCAAGAATTATTACATTAACTCATATTTTTTCAAAAATAATTTAAATATTGACTATAAATACATTCAAATTTATTGGCAAATCTTAATTATCAATTTTAGTCTTTTAATAGAAATAAAGTTTTTTCTTTAGTTACTTTTATTCATATATTTTAAAAAAGAAATAAACTTTAATCATTGACTAAAATGTTTATGCGAATTTATTGGAAAATACTTGATAATGACTTTCAAAATCCTTTTACTTATTTTTGTATGGCCTACTAATTTTGCCCGTAATTATCCCTCTTCTTATTATATTTTATGAATTAATTATCCCTCACAATTAATTAAAATTTCCATTACCATCTTAGTCGCCTCTTGCTTTTTAAAAACCCCTATAAGCCTTTCTTCGGTCATAAAAGCAAAGGGTATTTTTAATTCCATTTTTCGGGTACATGGGTTCAACTTTATTTTGTGCTGCTAAACAGGAAATAGGAGTTGGAAGTGAGAGTGTGTGTGTGAGTGTGTGTGTGGGGGGGGTCCAAAGACATGAGTGTTATTAATTAAAATCGTGCAGTGCATAAAATGGTTTGTTTGCCATTACGACCGGATTCCAGAATATTTTCAGGATCTGGTCGGGCCCCAGTTTCAGATTGGCTTTCGTGTGCGGCGTTGTGCTATTTGTGTTTGAGTTTGAGTTTGTATTTGCCTTCGACAATGTTTGTCTTTTATTAGAAACGTTCTGCCAGACAGGTATTTCAGCCAGTTGTTGAGTAGAATGTGGGCACGTGCTCGTATGGTGGAGCACCTGGACCTGAGAAACCACCGAGCAATTTTCATCTCATGTTTTCCCTTCTTTTTCCGATTTTTTCACTTTTTTTCCGCTTTTCCCATTTCAAACGCTTTTGAGTCAATTGAGTTTCCACGGAAATTTCTGTGTTTCGTTTTTATTTTTCCGTTGTTAAACTAATTGGATGTGTGAGGTTTAATTGCTAACAGGGGAATGATGGGAAATAATTTATGAGAATTCGGGCGAATTTTAATGTTTGCTTTTGGAGACGCAATGTGACCTACAACCCGATTTCGAATGTGACCCGAAAATACGCACGATTGAGCACCGGAAACAGATTTATTCATTCATTGATATCATTTATTCAGGCAATTATTTATGATTTCTGATGCGCTTCGTTTGGTTGGGTGATGAAACTTTAACTCGCCCAAGGACAAGTGGCCATAACAATTTAATGGCGGGGTAATGTTCTATATGATAAACTAATCAAGGCAGCTGGCTATAAATTATCCAGTTGAGAGTGAGCCAGCCTTCGAGGTTTTTCCGCCCCCCCAGCTCGAGATTAACGTTGGCCCATTTGCCGTCGACGTCGCAATTTGTTTTTCCTTGTGCGTTTTTTTTTTTTTTGTTCTCCTTTTTTTAAGGACGAAGGACTGACAGCGGACACTCTGTAATTTCATTGGGGCCGCAGCTGCTGTAACCTTGCCCTGCTGCCTCAGCCTTGGCAGTGAGATTGTTAGTTTGACTTTGGCCGGGTTTCCCGTGCCTCGTAATTAGCCATTTTCTTTGATATTCGACGGCACTTTTCCGTGCCCGAAAAACACCTCACTGCGACCTTTGACGCCACTTAATTGAATTGAAAACTCAACTGAACTCAACTCGCGCGTAATTTGCCTTTGGAAATGTTCATTGCCCAAACACCTCCTGAAACCATATTAAAGTAGTTCTGGCAAATGTTTACTTAAAACTCGCAGTCTTAATAAAAAGGGTGTTGGGGTTAAAACTGCAGAAGTGTAAACTTTTCCGTTGTTTGTTTGCTGCTGTTTCCCTTGAAGTTCAGTTGCCAGAACTTCTTTAATTGCCAACTGGGCAAAGTTTGGCTCCAATTTGGCCTTATCCCTTCGGTTTTTATTATTTCTGCTGTTTTATTTTTTAGTTGCCATGCTGTAAATGTGGGCTACAACATTGGCCCGCTTTTCGTGACTTTATGACGTGGCTGAGGAATTTTATTTATGTTTATGGGAGAGCTCTTGATATAAAATTGTCTTTTATGGCAGGCAACTGGAGCCGGGGATCTGGCAAACTTGTGATACCAGCACACGTACATTAACACATGGCAAAAATTAAAGTAACATTTTTAGTTGGAAGGTTTTTAAATTTGCAAATTATTCTCTCTTACATGAGTTTTGTTACTTTATAAAGTAAAAGAACAACAAATTAAAATAAAGTGCGTGTACAAGCACTTTCTTAATATTTAGATGCTTATGGTTTAAAATCTAAGTTGGAAATTATTATCAATATTTTATTTTTTGATTTTCTTTATTTAGTTTAATATGTTTGCGCAGTAACTTGAACATTTTTTTTAAGTTTCTTATTCAGAATTAATTAATATTCCAAGAAATTAAGATATATCTCGAAAACATTTATATAGTAATATTGATAACTCTAATTTGGTGGAGCTATATTTTATGAAAGTATTAAAATGGATTTTCCTATATCCCATACATGATTCCCAGAGAAAATCTTGTATAAATGAAGAATATTTTTCCTTAAATACATTTTTCTCAGTGTACACAGAGAAGAGGGGGAGAAGGGTTTTGGCACAACCGCAATTTACGATACGGATACGAGTTGCCTTTGTCTTTAGCTCTACCTGAATATTGCGTATACGCAACATTGGCCAGCGGGGGGGTGGATGGATGGATGGTGGGTCCTGTTGGTTTTGCTTTTGATGTAAAGAGGCACTCGAGGCAATTTTGCGCTCTTATCCCAATCAACGTACAGTAATGGAGAGCACAAGGGAGACCAATTGCTAACCTTTGTTATACGTTACACCGTCCTAGAACAACCATCAGACACATCAGCAACAGGGCCAGCCGCAACAGCAACATCAGCAGCAGCAGCAACAGCAGCAACATCGGCAACCTTCACAGCAGCAACCACAGCAGGATGCCGGACTGGGCGACACGTTGTCCTCGCTGCCACAGGCCTCGTTCAACTACATCAACTCCATCGTGGGCAGCGGCGTCATCGGCATACCCTACGCCCTCCACAGGGCCGGATTTGGATTGGGCCTGGCCCTGCTCATCCTGGTGGCCTACATCACCGACTACTCACTCATCCTGATGGTGAGTGACGCGGGTGCAAGGCCTAACTCGATAATGATGCCTTCCCCGAATTGGGTTTACGGTGGCAATCACATGCCGACCAAAGTCACATGCTAAACGCATTCCCGTTCGATACCTGCCCCTTGCATTTTCTGCATAATTAACAAGCGTTTAAGTCCCATTTCACTTGCAGGTCAGATGCGGCCACATTTGCGGCCGGTTCAGCTATCCGGGCATCATGGAGGCGGCCTACGGCAAGTACGGCTACTACCTGCTCTCCCTCCTGCAGTTCATGTATCCCTTCCTGGGTAAGTCGACCTGCTCCTCCTCATCTCCCCCAGAAACCACACGAAACAGCACAGGGAAAATGACTGATAATGCTCTTAGTGTCATTCTCTGTGCGACTTTGAAAACGATTTATCATTTTCAGACTCTCACACTGTATATTTTATGAAATTTAATAATTCCATGCAAAAATTGTTATTGTAATATGAAATATAAATTGAATATATAAGCTGAGATATTAAAGGTACATTGTGGGATGGTATATATTCCCAGACTCAGATTAAGGAGTGTTTAAATCTTACAGCAAACAAATTACATATTTATTTTAGTTTTCTGAGCTTTACAATTGTTGAAATAATTAGTGAAGTCACAAAACAATATAAATACAAAATTGTCTAAAATTTAAAATTAAATTATAAATATAGTTTAAGTTCCAAGACTCGAACTTCCGGAGCTCGAATTCCCTTTAAGTTTTATTGGCTAAATCTTTTAAAATCTGTTCTTTAACTGGAAGTATATATGACATAATCTCTTTATTTGTGGTAAAAGTAAACTCAAGTTATGGAAGTTTAACTGTAATACGCTGACAACCTAAAAGAAGTTTGTTATGTGTATAAGATATATATTATTCCTTATATTAATACAATGTAATTTGGTATACGAAATGACCCCTAGATATGCTTAAAAAGCCCTGTTTTATGAAGTAGTATAATATTTATGACCAATTTTTGTGATTGAACTTTTCTGATATTTTCCCCTTACAGCCATGATATCTTACAATGTGGTGGTGGGCGATACGCTGTCGAAAGTGCTGGTTCGCTTCTTTCCCTCCTGGGGCGGTTCCATGGGCGCAGTCCGACTGGGCGTGGTCTTCTTCGTGAATGTGGGCGTGGTAATGCCCCTCTGTCTCTATAAGAACGTATCCCGACTGGCCCGTGCCAGCTTCATCAGCCTGGCCTGCGTGGTGTTCATCCTGTTTGCGGTCATAATCAAGCTCATGTCGGGCGATTATAAAGTGTAAGTAAACAGCAAACATGTTTCTTCAATTTATTTTGCCCTGAAATTTGCTCATACAATGTCTGAAAATCTCAGTTTGTTTGGGAAAAATACCGCACTTTACATTTTTGTATTCCATTTGGCTTACATGCTCCGTTCTTCAAAGTATTTTGGGCAGCTTAGCTTTTTTGTTGGGCAGTCTAACTAATTACCCTCAAATGTCACGTATCCAATCCCAAATCGTGGCGTTCGAAGTTAATTGAATAATGCTAGGACTGAAATGCCGTCTATCAATTGAATCAATTAACGTTTGATCTCAGCAAATAATTAACAATTGTCGAAATACCTAATGGCATACCTACATAAATAGTTCATTAGCAGAATGCAACTAGCGAGGAAATAAGAGCATTGCGTTTGAAATTATAGGCAATTATAATTCGAATTAAAGGTATGAATTTCACTTGTTTTAACTCGTCAAAAGTATTAAGATTTTTTGAATTTTGTTGTAAAAAATCATCGTGACCATTTCTAATGACTTCTATCCTTAATTGACTCAAAAGCCATTTATAAAAAAAACACACAAAATAAAGATTTAATTGAAGTTTAATCATAACTTGTGAGACTTGAACAACATTTAATTAAAATGGAATTATGTAGACCATTTGCTAAACTACGAAATAATACTTTTTTTTTAAATCTGCTTACTTATGCTTTTAAAGGTGATTTCATTTCTTAGAGTAATTGCACCAAGTTCTTTATGAAGTTTTTAGCCACGAAAGCAATTTATAAAAATTACCAATTGACTCAAAAGCAATTTATTAAAATGTCCCAAAAAATAATGATTTATTTGCAATTTAATTATGAGATGAGGGCTTTGAACAACATTTATTTTGATAAATTCGATTAAGTAGACAAGATACTAAACTTAAAGAAATATCTTTCGTAAACAAATTCTGCTGATGTTGTTAAAGGAGATTTAATTTCATAGAGCAATAGACCTTGAACATTAAATGTTGGCTTAAACATTTTAACGCCAAGTTGGCTAAGAAGTTCTTAGCCGCGAAAGCAATTTATAAAAATTACAAAAAAAATATCGCCGGGTAAACGCGTAAAGATTTATTTGCATTTTAATTACAAATTGTGTGCTCTCCTCGATTTTCCCCAGCCGCGAACAAAGTTGCAACCAGTTGGACCTGAGCTTGGGAATAGGGCTGTGGATGGTGTTGGGTGGTGGGTGGTGGGTGGTCAGTGGGTTTATGGTGTTGGGGGTGGTTCTGGGCCTTAGTGCTAAGTGGCGCTTTAGTGCTTTCAAATCTGTGGCAACTGGCCGGGGGCGGTGGTGCTACTGCTCCCGCTCCCACTGGTGGTGCACAATCTGTTGGGGAACGCTGAGCTCATAAAATTTAGTGTGCCACTTGTTTGCCCTTTATGGCTTTTCATTAGGCGAGTCGAGTTGAGTCTGTTGCAGTGGCAACTAAGTTATATGCATACATACATATGTACACTGGAAACAGTTTCCCCCCTTCACAAGTTTCAAGGTCACCGAGGGGCAGGAGCTCTCCCCTTTTTAACTGGGGTGGTTTTGGGCAGCCAACCTTGAATGCTGCGTCTGCGACTGACTTGGTATAAAATTTAAATAAATTTCCAATTTGCGGTTGCCTGGCTTTCACTCTTCTTATCTTCCGGTCCGCACCTTTTGTTTTTACTCATTTTTTATGCGAATAATTCACATTTCCCGGGGCTGACCGAGGGCGAGCCAACGAAATGTTAATTTGGTGTTAACTTTTGTGTAATGTTTCCTGGAAAAAAACAACCTTTTTCGCACCTCAGCACGGACACGGCGGAATCATGGCGGTTTGCCAACTCGGATCTTATCCCGGCCACGGGCATCATGGTTTTTGGTGAGTTATAATGGCCCCCCCATCCCCTACCTCAATCAAATATATATCTATCTATCCCTCTATTGAACATCTGTGTGGGCAGCTTTCATGTGCCATCACAACACCTTCCTCGTTTATCAATCGATGCGCGACGCGACCATGGAGCGCTGGGAGAAGGTCACCCACATTTCCATTGGATTCGCCTGGACAGTGGCGGCCCTGTTCGGCATCGCTGGCTACTCCACCTTCCGCGCTTTATCCCAAGGTGAGGGATTGACACAAATTGCATTTAATTGCACTGACAGGCAATTTGCGGATGTTTCCCGTCTTCCACTGTTTTTGGCATTTACTATTTACCGCCACAAAAAAAAACCCAATTGGATTTGGGGACTTACATACCTTGTTTTGCAGGAGACCTGCTGGAGAACTATTGCTGGGATGACGACCTGATGAACTTCTCGCGTGTGCTCTTCTCCATTTCGATACTGCTGACCTTCCCCATCGAGTGCTTCGTTTCCCGCGAGGTTGGCTATGCCACACTTGAGAAAGTTAAGCAACTCACATGTATTTCGGGCTATTTTCGGCTATTCCCCACAGATTGTGCGCGCCCTCGTCCATCGGTTCGTGCTGAAGGAGCCCATCAGCGAGTTCACCCAGGACAAGGACCCCAGCCTGGAGAAGGGGGCCATAATCGATGAGTACTCGAAAGCCATTACCATGGCCATCGTGTTCAGCGCCTTCGTCATCTCGCCCATGACCGACTGCCTCGGTTCGGTGCTGGAGCTGAATGTGAGTAGGATTCTTACATGTCCTTAATCCTCGGATTCTTTCGATGTCCGGTCCAAAAAAGTGGGCTTGATACCCTTGACCAGAACAAGTAGGCTCAAATTGTATAAATATAAAAGTAGTTCAGGAATGAACTGATATCTGAATACGAAGCTTTTAATTTTTATATATCACAATATATAACTTAACCCATAAATACGGTATCCACAAAAAACTAGGCTTATGAAATCAATTTAGAAAAATATTTACAGACCATCCACTACTATTATTTCAAAGATTGTGAGATTCTTAGGTTTTTTTTTTAATCCAAATGAGTTTTTACTACCTGTTTCTTTTGAATCTTCAAAGATTTTATTTTCTATACCATTTATATTTGTTACTTTTAAGTTATGTTATGTTGTTGTGGTATTATCTACGCAAATTACAATCAGCTTGTAAAGTATGCTTAACCACAAATAGTAGGGTTTTCGTTTACTCGACTAAAATGTGAGATTTATCAGCTGTGGCTTTAATTTGGTCTGTGGCAGGAGAATAAGACGTCTTTCCAAAACGAAAGTATAAAACACAATTTATATGTATTTTTATAATATTGCTTAGCCCATTTATTATCTTAATATTGGTTCACATTATACTTGAAATTGGAAAATTGATAGGGTTTTTATGCCTTTTTTGAAATTGGCAAATTTATACGTTATTTATGACTATCTTGGTTTGTATTTGTATTTGTATTTAAGCTTTAAATTCAGTTCCCTATATACTAGAATAAGAAATGTGAGGCCTAGTCAACAAAGAATATGTAGTGCTTCATTAAATACATCTGAGACTAATTCAGACTCACCATTCCCATTGCCCAGACCAATGGGAAAACCGTATGGCCAAGTTTATTATCATCAGTAAGTCGTTTGCCCCTTGTATTCCGGTCACGGGTATTGGCCACATTGCCGAACCCAAACGGCATCCACAAATTCGAACCCCCCTTCACAACCCCCTTTTAGTACTTGCCATGCAAATTTATGCTCCCATTTCAGGGTCTCCTGGCGGCCATACCCTTGGCCTACATCCTGCCCGGCCTGGCCTACATCCAGATGGAGCCGCACGCCCTGCTCAGCCGGGAGAAGCTGCCCGCCTTGGGGCTGGTGGTCTTTGGGGCCGTGGTGACCATCCTGGGGGCGGCGGTGCTCCTGCCAGGACTCATGGGCGGCGACTGCCGCTCGGACATTGTGATGGGCTACTGCCGGCAGGAGTTCCAGAACGCCACCGCCGAGAACTAAGTGGATGCGGTTGCCACAGATCGGAACGGAAGTCAACTCCTGACTTGGGATCGTATTTGGTTTTGTTTTTCTTAATTTTAATATTGGTTTAAAACTTTTGATTTCACCTTCGGTTAACTAACTAACACACACACACACACACTGCACGCAACGTGTCGCATCGAAAGAAACTTGTACCTGAGTCCCAGACGTTGAAAGTATCTGCGTAAGTAAGTAGTTGGCACAGTGCTGTATTGGCTAGTGGAAGTGTGATACGGGCGAACCTCAGTACAAAGGCCAGGCATATTCTCTGCGATCGAGCATAATTCAAGCATATTTGCACCGGATAGTTATACATTTTGTTGGATCCCCGTTGTTGATGTCGATATTGTTGAATGTAGTGAAAGTTCCTCGATATATATATATATATGTATGTACTCTGATTGGGAAAGTAAAAGGAAACAAAGCGAAAGCGAAAGCAAACTAAACCAAAACTAGAACTAGATGTTATCCGTAGCTTTAGCGTAGTCTGAAACTATTTGGGCACCAATATACACATGCAATCCTTAACGACAACCGACTCCCCAAGTTGAGAAGCAAATCAAAATCGAACAAGTATTATTATTATACCGACAACTATTTGTAACTATGTATGTATGTATTGTATATGTATATGTATATCTATGCCCTGACGTTACCGAATCATATTCCAACGTTTTATATGTATATGTATACAAGGAGTAGATAACTGCGCTTTAAAACTAAAACTAAAACTAAAACCGAACTAAAATCAAATACTTTCCATATAACACATCGATTTGGACAACAGTTTTGAGTTGTTTAACAGCACTGAATTCTATTTTGAATTGCGTATATACACCACACACGATCGAATATTTATATATACACGTACATAGATATATTTTTCTACAACTCTTGATTTTTGTATACTGCACGATATTATGTAAATACATGTGTATGCATTTTTGGATGTGATTAAAGTCTTTACACTTACACCAGCTATCACAACTTACTTTCTCTTCGGGCTGAGATACCGGAACCAAGCTGAAGACCCCGACCCAATACCAAACTCTATACTCTAAACTCTATACTCTAAGAGCTTAAACACTACATATCATGGCCAAGGAACACGGGACATGCCCAGGGCTTTTCTAAGATACTTTTTACAAGATCCCAGATAACCAACTGAACCTATCGCCTATACACACATCGAAGATACAAATAATTTCCACAGACTTCTTGTATATACACGCCAAATACAGTAGATCCGCTTCTCATTTTCCCATTCGCCAAATATCTCGTTGTCTCTCCCTCTTTAGCGCTATACTATATCGAAAATGTATAACAAAGAAATAGTAAGGTATTTAGGGAAGTGTTGATCGATTGTAGACGAATTGTAATTATTATTATTGCCGTATTGTGCGTGTAGCCACATATATAAAACATATAACTAATTGTTTAGATGGGATCGTTTGTGTAGAGACGTTTTGATTTGCAACGCAGGCATACCCCAGAGATAACCAAATCCGATTTCATTCCAATAGTACATATGTCTAGATAAGCTACAGCAAAAGCGAAATAATAATAAAATATTCTTGAAATAATAAAAATGCATTTTAGTTTTAGAACTACTATATGCCAAAAACAAACAATGCGGTTTTTCATGCCCCTCAACATATGGCCATCTTATCAGTGGAGTTTCGAGCAATAGTTCCCAGGCGTTCCCCTGCGGTTTTTCGAGTGATAAAGGTACCCTCCGAATTGGGTATAAAAGCGCAGCTATTCCCAGTGGATAGTCACAGTTGTGAAGTGACATTCCCTCAGTTAGTTTCCTTTTGAGAGATCCTACTAATCCTCAGTAAAATGGCCGACAAGAAGAATCTCCTCCTGCTCTTCGACCATCCCACCGAGCCCGTGTTCATGGACAAGGGCAAGAGGGTGACCGTGTTCGATGTGCCCGACTCCTTCCTGACCGATCGCTACCGTCCGATCAGTAATGAGGTGCAGAACCGCGTGGGCGACACCGTGGAGCAGCGCATCCCGGTGCGGGATATCTCCATTCCCGACCTCCGCATCCCCATGTCGCTGGGCCGCGACGAGCAGTTCTCCCTGTTCCTGCCGAAGCACAGGAGGATCGCCGGCCGTCTGATCGACATCTTCATGAACATGCGCTCCGTGGACGACCTGCAGAGTGTGGCGGTGTATGCCAGGGATCGGGTGAACCCGGTGCTCTTTAACTACGCCCTCTCGGTGGCCCTGCTCCATCGTCCGGACACCCAGGGATTGGACCTGCCCTCCTTCTCGCAGACCTTCCCAGATCGCTTCATCGACTCGCAGGTGATACGCAAGATGCGGGAGGAGTCATTTGTGGTGCAGCCCGGCTCCCGGATGCCCATCACCATTCCCAGGGACTACACCGCCTCCGATCTCGATCCCGAGCACCGACTGTGGTACTTCCGCGAGGATCTGGGCGTCAACCTCCACCACTGGCACTGGCATCTGGTGTACCCCTTCGAGGCCTCCGATCGCAGCATTGTGAACAAGGATCGTCGTGGCGAGCTGTTCTACTACATGCACCAGCAGGTGATTGCCCGCTACAATGCGGAGCGGTTCAGCAACAACCTGGCCAGGGTACTGCCCTTCAACAATCTGAGGGACCCCATTGCCGAGGGCTACTTCCCCAAGATGGACTCCCTGGTGGCCAGTCGCGCCTGGCCTCCTCGCTTCGAGGGCACCAAGCTGAGCGATCTCAACCGGGAGGCAGATCAGCTGAATGTGGAGATTGGCGATCTGGAGAGGTGGCGCGATCGCATCTACGAGGCCATCCACCAGGGCTTTGTTCTGGATGTGAGTTCTGGATAGTCTCTGTCTTTAAGGTGATCTTTAATGGTTATTGCTATTTCCAGGAGCAAGGCAACCGCGTTGCTTTGGACGAGGCCACGGGAATCGATACCCTGGGCAACATGATTGAGTCCTCCATTCTGTCGCCTAACCGAGTGCTGGTAATACCCTTTAGTTATTTGTTTGGTAAATAGATCTAACAGCTCTTCCCCTCCAGTATGGTGACCTGCACAACAACGGACACACCTTCATCTCGTACGCCCACGATCCGACCAGCAAGCACTTGGAGTCCTTCGGCGTGATGGGCGATGTGTCCACCGCGATGAGAGATCCGGTGTTCTACAAGTGGCACTCGTACATTGACCGCATCTTCCAGGAGCACAAGTCGCGACTGCCCGCCTACACCGACACGCAGCTGAACTACACGGGCGTCTCGATCACGGGCATCCAGGTGGCCACCAATGGGGGTCAGCCCAACATGCTGACCACCTTCTGGCAGCAGTCGGATGTGGACATGTCCCGCGGCTTCGACTTCCTGCCCCGCGGCAATGTGTTTGCCCGGTTCAGCCACCTGCAGCACCTGCCCTTCACCTACACCATCAATGTGAACAACGACAGTGGAGTGCAGCGGTTCGGCTACGTGCGCATCTTCATGGCGCCCAAGAATGACGAGCGTGGTCAGCCCATGTTGATGCGGGATCAGCGTGGCATGATGATCGAGCTGGACAAGTTTGTGGCTGCCCTGAACCCGGGTCCCAACACCATTCGCCGCCGCTCCACGGAGTCAAGTGTCACGATTCCATTTGAGAGGACTTTCCGCAATTTGGATGCCAATCGTCCGACTGCCGGTTCCCCCGAGGAACTGGAGTTCAACTTCTGCGGCTGCGGCTGGCCCAATCACATGCTGGTGCCGAAGGGTCTGCCCGAGGGTCTGCCCATGGTGCTCTTCATCATGGTGTCCAACTATGAGAACGACAGGGTAGGTTTACTTAAGTGTTAGGTTTTAGTGCTGACCTTAACTCTTCATCCATTTTTGTCCCCCAGATTGACCAGCAATTGGTGGGTCGCTGCAGCGATGCCGCCTCCTACTGCGGAGTCCGCGATCGCCTGTATCCGGATCGCCAGTCCATGGGCTATCCCTTCGACAGGTTGCCCCGCACCGGAGTCGATCGCCTGGTGAACTTCCTCACGCCCAACATGAGCATCGTGGATGTGAACATTCGCCACGAGAATCGCACTGTTCAGCGCCAGAACTAGATGAACCCAAGCTCGGACTAATCCGCTCCTGATCCACATTGCCAGCAACCTGACCCCGTTTCGATGACCTTGCCCATTTCTAGATATATAACTCTTAGCAATCTATTGCATCTTTATTGAGCCGCTTAATAAACAAGACATCATGGCATTCCACAAAGCAACTTTTGTTCTCAATTATTATGGGTTGGCCTCCGCGCGGGAATCTCTCGCTGATTGCGCTTATCAGCGGTATCAGCCTCCGGTGGAGGCTTTAAATGCCAGCTCCACGGGCTTGGAGCCACTCAGTTCGAGAAGATCCGGTGTTGAGTGCGAAAGTGAAACCGATTCCAGAGGAGATGAGCCTGCCGCTGCTGCTGCTGATAGTGGGCATTGCCGTAAGCATGCTGGCGATTAAATAATCTTTGAATACGTGCTGGGATCTTTAAAAAACAATAGTGATTTTAATATTCGTTCTAACGCATTTTATTGCGTAGCTAAAAAAGTGCTTTTATTGAAATGCTTTCTACTAAAACAAGTGCATCTAGTATAGTAGATTTTCATGGTTTCATCCAGTTATAAAAATATGTTTAATTTAAAGTAGCTATAGATCTATCAACTACCCATTTCAAACGCGAACAGATTAAAAACAGATTGGGAACAGATTGGGAACATACTGAGAACAGATTGGAAAAATATTGAACAATATTGGCAAAAAACATTGCAAGGAGAAAGTATAAAGTCTTAAAATAAATAATCTATTGCGTAATACAATTGTATGCATATTTCCAACAGTTTATTTTTAATTAGCAAATAACGAGTCTTAAATTTTATACTAATTTCAAATAGAGATGTTATCCAATTAAATTCAAATTGTTTATGGAGGAAATTCACAAAAAGGCAAACTTGCTACATAAAAATATAGATAACCAATTTATTTAACACCAATTTTGATATTTTTTTTTTGGTTTGAACTCTATAATAACTTGCTTAAGAAAAAGCTTTGAAAACGATTCGATTCGATGATAATTCTAATACAATGTTTTTTCTTTAACTTAAGTGCGCAAATGCGGCTGCCAACTTTGACCTCGAGGCCAAGACGTTTGTGAATCAGTCGAGTGATCGCTACTACAGGTTGTACAACGAGATTGCCGGCGAGACGTACACTGCAAACAACGAGGAAGACTTCGATGCCCTGTTCAACAAGCTGAACAATGTGAAGCGCATTGCCGAGGAGCTGGTGAGCATCTCCCGCCAGGCGGCCGGATTTGATCTGGACAGGATTCGCAATCCGGAGACAAAGGTTGCCCTGCAGGAGCTGCGCAGTGCGGGTGATTTGTTTGTCCTGGGCGACGACTACTTCTCCTCCGTGCAGATGAACCTGGCCGCCCTGCAAACGCTCTCCACGGACAAGGACATCGAGCCGTATCTGGGCGGAGCCAATATGCCCAACGAGGACGACAGTCCGCTGGCCTACTTCCCGGACATCCAGAAGATCGTGCAGACCAGCCGGGATGCCGACGAGCTGAAGTACTACTGGGAGGCGTGGCGCGAGAAGAACCAACTGTGGGCCTCGCTCAACTTCTACACCATCGTGCAGTCCTATCAGCGGGCGGCCAAGATCCTGGACGTGCCGGTGCACAAGCTGTGGTACCGCTACGACAGCCAGGAGATGCTCCAGCAGATGGAGCAGGTGATGCTGGAACTGCGCCCGGCCTACCAGCAACTGCACGCCTTCGTCCGCCAGGAGCTGCACAAGAAGTACGGCGGCGAGGTGGTGAATCCCAATGGACCCATACCCGATCACCTGCTTCAGCAGGTCCTGGAGCAGGCCTGGGCAGGTGGCAGCATCCTGGAGCAGTACTACCCGCGTGCCCAGTTGCCGGAGTTCGATGAGTTCGTCAAGGACCTGAGTGCCAAGGCAATGGTCAACGAATCGGAAGCCTTCTACACCTCTTTGGGCTTTGAGCCACTGTCCGCGGAGTTCCACAAGAACCAGCTGAAGGAGCCCAACCAGGACAGTCCCAACGACGACTGCCGACCCTCCATCTTCGACATGACCCCACATGTATACCTCATGTACTGCGAGAAGGTCAGCTTCCGGAAACTTATGCAGTACCACAGCCACATGGCCAGGGTGTACTACGCCCAGCAGAAGAGGCACCTGCCCTCGTACTACTTCAAGGCCTACAACCTGGAGTTCGCCGTGGGCGAGGCCGTGGTCCTCTCCGCCTCCGCTCCCGCCCACCTCACTGGCCGCCGCCTGGCCACCACCACCCTCGACGAGACGGCCCTCATGAGTCGGCTCTTCCGCATGGTGAGTACCCCATTGTTTCTGAAAACTAGGGTACCCTCAAGAAATCTAATTACCCAATTTCTTATGTCATTAGGCACAAGTCTTTTTTACAAAGGAAATATAATTTTGTTTAATTATTTAAATAGGCATAAAGTGGTCTTTTGATATTTAACAAAGTGCTTAATAACTTATAATTAAAAAGGTTTCAAATTAACATAATGCGAGTTATATGTTATTCAGCTAATTCTATATTACAACCAGTTTTTATACCTTTTTCCTTATTTTTTTCCATTCGCTAGCATAATCAATATTATTGATAATATCAGTATTACAATCTACTGTTGGTTAAGGTACAAGATTTAACATGTTGATAAATAATGTTGTTTATTAAAAAAAACCTTTTTTAATTTGCATTATTTCTATTAACTTCCATATTAGGTCTTTATTTATGATTTATTACCAAATCAAGTTAAATAAAATCCACTCTACAAGGCAAATATTTCTTATCTTTTAATTTTTTTTTATTAAAAAGATTTAATAACATCATATTTAAATTTATCTTTAATTCCAGTCCATTCACACGATTCTGAGCATTCCATTGTACTACGTGCACACCAAGGTGATGCACGACCTTCTGAACAACACCGTGGACATGGACACCGTGAACAAGCACTACTGGCGACTGATGGAGCAGCATGCCGGAATTGAACCGCCCTCGGATCGGGCAGAAGGTGCCATTGACTTTCCCTACAAATTCTACGTCAACATTGACCAGAGCTTCCAGACTCAGTAAGTGTTCTTAGGTGTCTATATAAGGAAACGCTTTAATTTACAAACATTTTAGAAAATTCATTTCCGAGATTCTGGGCTATCAGATCTATCGCGAGTTCTGCAAGAAGAGTTACAGCAGTGGACCGCTGCACAACTGCGATTTCTATGGCAGTCTGGCCGTTGGCAACGACTTAAAGTGAGTTTTCTTAGTTTCCCTTCAGAATTTAATACTCAACTAGTTACTCTTTCCCAGATCCATGATGTCTTTGGGTTCTACCAAGCCCTGGAAAGAAGTGATTGCCAAAATACTGCCCAGTAACACTGGACTGAGTAGCTTGGCTCTGCTGGAGTACTATCAGCCCGTTCTGGATTGGCTCAAAAAATATAATAAGGACGCTAGTTCCAAAATTGGCTGGACTTCAACCAAGAAAAGTAAGGTTGAATACTTTGAAATTTGTACATTTTATATTAATTTTATCATTGCAGAAATCGTTTGAGGACTTTAAAGAGCAGCTTTCTATGAGGCCAAATTAGTTTGCTCACAAATATTAATAAAATATCTTTTTTGATTTTACCTTCATTTTTCAAATATCTATTTGAATTGGTAACTGTTAAAATAAAAACGTTTTACAACACTGCTGCGAATCGGTTTTATAAATGAATCGGTTTGCTAGACGGTTGTCTCACTCGCACCTACTTTAACTTGTATGCGGGTGCTTATATGAACGAAAGTTTTGGTTAGAGGGAGATGGAAGTAGGAACTACTTCGGCGCGTAAAATACGGCATTCAAATTCTAAGTTAACCAAATTAAATTTAAAAATGATCATTTAATACAATTTTATATAATTATTTGATATATTAGTTAATAAATAAATCGAGTTTAAAAATGGCTAAAACAGAAAAATATATTTATGTTTAGTGATTTCGTTGACAAAAGCCGCTTCTTGTTCCAATTCTATTTTTAAGATTTCAAGAATTTCCCAACTCTCCAGCAGTCAGGCGGAAAATCGGTTCCGGCTGTGGGCAGCTTTGACTTTTTCTTTTAGTTTCTATCGTGTTTGACCACAAATAATCGGTGGCGGCTGCGTTGCAACCTCCAAGAGTCCAAGAGCCCTCGAAATGTTGCTTGTTGGCTGCGTTAAAGTGTCGCAATCCGAAGTCAAGAGCCTGTCCTCCGGTTTGAAGTCCATTCAAGCGCACCGCAGCTCGTTGTGCGTTCGCCGCTTGATTGCATCCACCGGCCACTGGCCACATCCACATCCACATCCACCAACAACCTCCACATCCACATCGAAATCCACATCAGACCGAGCCACTCTTGCGGTGGTTGTCACCAGACCAGATGACGATCTGTATTTTACCCACGTTACAGATACACTTTCCTTTGAAGAAATCTGCTGGGGATACTAATAAGCATTAGATTTGTAATTACGAATTTTCAACTATAAAATTTATATTTTTGATATATAGTATAATAATTGTATTTATCATTGATTGATGGTAATAATCCACAGAAAATATTTTTAAAAAGTCAATTATTAATTTAACTAATACATTTTTAAATCCAAAAAACCCAATTAAGTTTTAAGCGTTTTGCAGTTAAGCTGCATGGGAGTTGTAAAAATACCTACTGCAATACCTACTTATAATTAGATTGTTATAAAGAGATACGATAATAATAATTAAAGTTACTTAAAATGTAGGTAAAAAATATTTCAATCTTATAGTATTAAAACTCTGTCCTTTTTAAGCAAATGCGGCATACAAGTTTTTAAAGTTTGAAAAATGCTATATGTAAATCACTTAAAAGTTAATGTATTTTTGCGTTTGGTTTTGGCCAATCAAGTTGGACTTTCCAAAATGATTTGGTTTGTGGAAGCAAGTTGCCATTAGGGTACAACCCATTCGGCTTTGAGCCGACATGCCGGATTTGGCGACTTGCAGCTGCCACGCTTCACTTGCCCCGCGACTGGCGAAAGGTCAGCGGTTCTGCCTCTGCGGTGGTCATTAGCCAAGACAGAGTCCAAGCCCAGCGAATTGTGGAGCAATAGCGATCGCGGGCGGCAAGGTCGGCGGATCGCCCACGGCCACGCCCCCCTCCCCTTTCGGCCATGCCCCCGGGGGCGTTCCTCATTTAGCTGGACGAGTGCTTTTCCCCCGACTGGATTTCCTTTTCGCCTTTCCAGTGGGGGCGTCTGCGGCAAATGGGCGAATGCATTGCGTGCCGCCTGTTTTTCTGTCAGTCGACGAAGGTGCAGTATGCAGTCTCCAGTTTTAAGTTTGCAGTTTGCAGTATGCAGTATACCTGCTGCTAATTGCGCCAAATTGCGGTGGCCGCGCACTCGCTGCGGAATGAATGGCCGTGAAATTGAATCATTTCCAGCTTCAGCAGAAGCAGGCACTGCACACTCGACTCGAATCCGAATCCGAATCCGAATGCGAATCCGAGTCCAACTTTGACATGGCATGCCGCCCGTCCGTCCCGAAACGGAGTTGAGTGAAAGGCACCCACGCCGTCATCCAGGTATTTCGCTTGCCTTTATGCCAGCAGTTACCTGAATCAACAAGAACGCACAGACTAATCTTAAAATGCTCTTATGAAAATAATTAATATATGGTATAATTTTGATTTCATTATACATTTTGAAGCGCTTCGGTTTCTCAATAAGCTTGCAGAAAATCGTTATTTTATTTCTCATAATCCTTCACAAAAGTAATATTGTTAAGCTGTCTGAGATATGATACAAATTCTGTTTTATTATTTTGAAAATAGTTAAGTTAAAGGCAAAGGCCAATTTAAAAATTGGTCAAACGTATTTCGTTATTCATATATTGAAAAGTTCCCAGAACAACATTTCTAAATTCAGCTACATAAAAAAATATGTATTATATGTACAACTAATATGTAAAAAATCATAACAATATATTATTGGGTATTATATACTTAATACATTTTTCTATATACTCCAATTTATATTTATTATTTGTTAGTTAAATTTTGGGACGTTAAGACAATTTTGAATGTATATTTTAGGTAGGAAACAGTATCTTAAACAAATTTCACAAGCTAAAGAAATATATGATATGATTTCCAACTTTGAAAAATGTAAGTTTATTTAATTACAGCACCTTGCCATTTGGCGTTGCAAATCGGCTGCCAAAATTGGCACAGCCCCTCGGGGAGAGTATAAAGACTTAAGTGTCCAAATTATGCATAGATATACGGGTATGGGAATGCTGTGTGGACGGAGAAAAGAGCCGAAACGGAAACCGCAAAGGGAAAACAAGTTAAATGAAATTTGCATGTCGATGTCAGACAATTTGGTGAACTTTTTTAAATTGCCCATCAGCAGATGCATTCACATTAACATTAACTCAAAAAGTAAATCCCCATATATGAGCACTCGTTAACAAGTTGGGAACATGTGTAGGAGATATGCGAGTGTTATATGCGAATTTTGTTTACATATTCATCGGGCACGTTGGTGGCAAGCATTTAAACAAACGAACGAGTGAGCAAATATAAACGAAATTCGGCTTAAGACCAGCACAATAGGGCGGAATCAGAGGTGAATAGTTTTAGCATATTGTGTGTGCGGGGATTGGGGATTGGGAATAGGAGAGCAGGGAATGGGAATAAGACCCCCAAATGGCTTTGTTACGTGAGGCCATTGTCAAGTTCAGATTGGCAAAAGACAAGACAATAGAGAGCTTAAGGTGAGCTTATGAGGAGGATCTGTTAAAAAAGACTTGGAGAAATCGTCGAGGTCAAGGAAGTGTGAGGTATTTTATTAATTTTTACCTAATTTGCAAATAATATTACAATTATAATAATTAGCAATGACTTCCAAAAATCTATTAATGATCAAACTAAATTTCCCCCTTTAAACTATTAGACTTTTATCATTAAAACATCACATAAAAATATTTTACTTTTCAAGTTGCATAGCCATTAAAAGATCGATGATTCAAATTAGTGAAAAACTAGTCATTATCAAACAATCCTCTAACAAATGAAGCCCCAAAACACCATAAATGCTGTGTTTCGCCAAGGTGAATTCCCCTCGTAAGACTTTGCTCATCGATTACTTGAGTCCTGCTTTATGGTAATTAAATTTCGGCTCCAACTTTCATAACAATTGCGAACGATGAGTTGAAATAGCAGGCTGTTGCAGAAAGATCAGCCAAGCTGAGGAAGAAACTGCAGATCACGCGCTCGTGCAAAAATCATGATTATTTGACGAAATCCCATGCTGAGTCTTATCCAGCTGCCGCAGCGTGGCGCCCCAAAAATGATGAAAAACATAAAAAAAGGAGAAGGAAAACGAAAACGAAAAGAGGGAAAAACAGAAGAAGCAATCAGCCATAACAAACCAAGCAAGCATCCATCCATCCATCCATCCATCCATTCGAGAGCTGACCCCAAGCAATTAAGAAATTATGTATATTATGACGCGCGCTGTGATGATGGCAGCGCAGTCGAATAAAAAGCAATAAAATGTTACAGCAACAAATGCGAATGTCGGTTGAGCATTATGTATACGCACCGCTGGACGCTGGAAGCTGGAGGGCCCTGCAGGCGGTTGTCTTTGCTCTTTTCACTGCGCTAACCTTTCTTCGGTGCGACTACAATGCCACAATGATATGGCGCGGCCATAATTATCATTTGTTGCATCTCTTTTTCGGTGCTGGGGCATCATTATCCGCACCGCACGCCAAATATATATTGTTCAGAATGTACGAGTATTTATCATGGAAATGAGGGAGCTTAGGCTTCCTGCAAAATCAAAAGACTTAAGACACGAACTCGAGTCCGGGGTCGCCTCGCTCGGGTTTGGTTTTGCCTTACGTAAGCGCGTGCTCGCCTTAAATTAAAGTCCACAATCACGCAGCGACGACAGGGGTCAACAAAAAAAAAAAAAAAAAGAGAAGGAGATTGAATGGATGGCCTGCTGTGTAGGTGGAGAAATTATGTTGACATCATCGCCAAAAAATGGCCAAGAAGCGAGCGGTGATCAGGCAGCGGGCGCCTCTTGAAAAGCCGAAAAAAAATTAATTTTACTTTCATTTTCGTTGCGGCAAACGCGCTGGCTTCTTTTACTTTTTAATGAATATCCACTTTTTCTTTTTTTTTTTTTGGCCAACATCTCCGCATCTATTTTCGTACTTTTGGCTTGTGCCACTTGAAAAGACAATTGCACTTAGATGGCATGGGGATCCGTTTGGCCTCCGGTTGGATTAATTTCCCAATTGCTTTGCAGCCTGCAACTGGAGTTGTCCGTTAAGTGGAGGCATTAGCGGGCTAACTGATCGATCAATCGATCGATCGATAGTTTGACCGTCGAAGTGAGCGGCTGCTGCAATAAGGAAACCTCTGTTTATGAAAAGCTCTTCGAATGAAAGTCACCAGCGCTTGCCGTTTTGAATTGTATTTTAATAGGCCAAAAGTCAATTTCCTGGCCCGCTGCCAAAAACGGTTGTTTGCTCGCCGATTGCTGTAAACGGTCCAATTTTATTGCCAATTTTGGCTGCGCCTTATGAAATATCTTGCATTGTGGATGGAGCGATTTGAGCAATTTTCTAGGTCGCTCATCGGTACATATGTGGATTTAAACACGCACCTTACGAAATGTCAAAT